ACAAACGTGTATACATGGATAACGAACCAGTCCAAAAATCAATCGTCTGAACTAAAAATGATATTAACTATTAAAGCACTTTGCGCAATAAGTTTGTTATCCAAAACTTAACAATGCAATAAACATCTCATCACGAGGGAACAGCGCCCCGTCGAATAAATCGTCGTTAGACGTAATTGAATTTCTTCTTAGCAAGGTCGGAAGGGATACGTGGTTCTCTCTCTCCGGAAAGGAGATTCCATTTTGAAGGATCTCGTCGTAGTTACGGCACTGCAACGCCCTTCCCCCCGTCCGTTCCGTCTCCGTTCGTTCCATTCGTTTTAACCCGGTGCGCCGGTCTTCGCCGGGATATCATCTGGAAGGTGAGACGCAGCAGAGAAGCGCACCCGGGTACGGTGGACTAATTGGCCGATAAATCAAGCTCCGGCTTGCCTTCTCTCCACCGCTCCTGCTCCGCGCTGGACCTTTTAGAGTCTACTCATAGGTGGACTTTCCGGACGCAAGACGCAAGGTATACACGCGCCCCGAGTCTAATTTTGAACGGCGGCGTCCGGCGCTTTAAAGAAATTCACGATACACTGACGTTTTCAACGGAGACATTGTTGTGTTTCAATGAAATTTAATTCTTATTCCATTTTTTTTTTAAAAACTGGGAATTCCTTAAACTTCTATTCAGAAGAGAGATACGACCCTACGATAGGAAATCCAATTTACGTGTTGCATTTGACGAACGAACATTAAAATTCCGCCTGGTTTTTCTTATTCTGATTTTAATTACAGTCATAATTACGATACTTAATTACAGCGACGGTATTCCATCAACAAACACCCCTGACTCCACGCTTTCAACCAGTAATTACCTTCCTCCGTATGAGGACGTAGCCACAATATACTCTGGGAGTTTATCCTCTCTTTCTCTCGAGAGCTACGCATACGTTTGCGTATTTAATGCACCAATCAAGTTGCGGACGGAACGAGGCGAGAAGTCCGTCCAAACGAGCCCGAGACGAAGATATTTTATCAGCGACGATCGAGATCACCGCCGATAGGCCAGGCGACGAGCGGACGATCGCCGCCGTGATAAATTCTCGAACGTGAATGCCGCTACGTCAGTCGATACGTATTTTCGTGAAAATTGTGGTCCGTTACGTGAAGAACGGATCCATCTTCGCTTGAACAAGATTGATCGATTAAATCTAACAACTTTTATTAGAGCAACAAAAAAAATATATAATGAACACGGAAGTTCTTCGATTCCTTTCACCCAAACTACGTAGATAAAATACTGAATTTTCTCGGCTGAACGAATGTCGTTCAGGGTTTAAATTCCAGACGAATTACTATCTATACCACCAAAGAAGAGCGCCGGGTCGACGAAAGACCGACGTCAATGCTAATTATGCACGCGATCGCAGAAGGATCCGACGGGAATCGATGGCCAAGCGAAGATCGGTTTTAATAATCCACCGCGACCACCGGCCCGGTCCCGGAATAAGATTATCGGATCGAGACCATCGGCGCTCGGTGCTCCCGTAATTTGTGTTTTCGTTATTGCGTCCGATTCGTGTTCCCCGAAGGCACCAGGGAACAACGACGGTATCTGGTGTTGCGGGAGCAACCGAGAATGCGAGAAACCTCCGCCGCGCGTGGAACAGGTTCTTCGTTTTCCGGGGGCAGATCAGTGTGTTCGCTTGTTACCGCGAAACACAGAGAAGAACGGAGATGGAAAGCGCGAGAGGAGATACTGGGACGGAGTGGGACAGAGAAAGAACTAAGATAGCCCGTGTGTACGTGTGCGTACCGTGTTACGCGTGCACAGGTGTACGAAGGCACACAAACACCGGCACGTACGCGCACTAATCGCACGGAGCGAACTTGTTGGAATTAATTGGTCCGGCCAATTAACGCTCACGGCCTGAAACGCGTCGAGGGCAATGAAGGCGCACGATTGGCCTTCTCCCCGCCGCCACCCCTCGACGCTCGATATCCTTCGGCGGCTACCTCGCTTCCTGCGAAGCCCCTAATTAATTTCAACTCGCAACAGTTCGCAGAAAATCGAACGCCACCGCGGTGACTTCGATACGAAAGATCGATGTTATCTCGATCGATTACCTTTGGTTAAACTGACCGATTAGGCCTTTGGAAGATATGAATTTCATGGTATCGAGATTCTCTTAAAGAGAGCGTGGAGCGAGGGTGAATCCGGGAGAGATCTTATTCTTATGAAAACGTAAGAACATTTTTTTCTTACAAACAATTAAAATGCTGATTCTGTTGACAAAAATTGAAACGTAACACTGAGTCACACTTATAAAATAAAGAAATACGCGTTCCACATATGGTGGATAATGTAGGAAGAAAACACTTACCTGGTCCGGCTCTCTCACGGGTCCATCCCTCCCAAAATTACTCCAGATACTTGAATCAAACAGGACCTTAGGTCATTTTGAGCAATTAAAGAGATATTCAATAATTGAGAATAAATTGACACTAAATGCAGTTGTCCGAATGAAAAACGACGTTTCGCGGAGCATTGACAAACTCCTTTCTCCCCTCTGCTCAAAGAAAAACGTTATATTGAACGATAACTCGATTATTACGAAACATATTGATTCATGTACGATTCACGGGGCAGGAGAGCAAAAAGCGAATTTGAATCGGCCAGTAAAACAATGAAATAACGATGTAATCTTCGACAATGGATGGCATAACCGAGCGAACTCGCGCGTTGTCCGCTTGTTAGCGATGAAATATTACGTATGTTCAGCAGCTGTCATCTTACCGGTCCTTTGACGGCATATTTATACCGGTTTCACCCTGCTCCGCGGCGCCCGATCGCCGATAACGGACGCCCCTCGCTAATGCCCTGTTCGCGAGACGCTTTTACGCTCCTGAATTCGTTATGCCACGACCTAGACGTGTTGTACACATCTCGAAATCTATATCGTGCGCTACTTTGATTAAATCGTTGAATATTCGAATGTCCAGCGAGAGGAAAAAATGGGAGAGGTAGTGCCAAAGTCACCGAGCGGAAATCGAACCAAAAATCTGGTCGTTACGAATAGTTTTGAAATCTAACCAACCGTGAAACATACCTACCATGTATATGCCACGTCGAAGAAAAAAAAAATTCGTAACGCGTGCGTGAGATTAAAACCGATTTTTTTCGTGGATCAACCGAACCGGAAAGCCCCGTGACAATGTGGAAGCAGAGGACTTATCGATCGCCAGCGATTGATCGACGTGTTATCGAAATCCTTCGTGGATTTAGCTGAACTGTCTTTCGCCGACACGTTCATGCCGAGTTGGTAACGTGCATGACGTCGATGTACGATAACCGGCGCGCGCGCGCTAATGCTCGCAATCAGGATCGGAACGAGATCGGGCATCGGTAATCAGAATCGGCGTCCGCATTCTCCAGGAGGGCCATTACTCAAAGATCCGACACGCCGGGAAAATAGGTGTCATGTGACGATTAAACGCGCGTTACCGAGAGCGACGATTCTCGTTAATCTAACGCAGTTATGCCTTTATCATACACGTTACACTTTAACGCGAAAGGATGTTCAACAGATGTTTTCAAGTAAATGAATTGCGCATTAAGTAAATGCGAACCAAAGCATTAATATACACTCCAATTACTCCAAATTCAAAATGAAAAACGAGGACGGAAATCTAAATCCAAAATTTATGGTATACCGGAGTAAATAGAAAGGGAATGGAAGAACTGTTACGGTAGTGTCGGGTTTTCGATCGAGACCGTGATCACCGTAGAAAAACACGAAGTGAGAAGAAGAAATGGCGGATCCGTTTAACAAGGTGCTTCGCCTACCGGATAATACATAAGGGGTATTAAGGCCGCTACTCAATTGGGTATGAGCTCACCGAGAGGTGGACGTCTCAATTTTCTTCGCGACTTAATGACCGATCGTTAAAACCCGGCTTCGCCTCGAACCGGCTCCAGGCCGCCACGAGAACCACCAAGATGAAACGAGACGAGGATACCTGGTCCTTTTCCCTCGCCTTCTTTACTCTTTACCCACACCCTCTTAACGCACACCGCCGTTTCCCGTCGTTCTAATGTAATCACAGACTTTCTGCGGTAATGATGTTTATAAGTATCGGAACCCTGCCGATTCTTAGTTACCACTTTACCTTTGTATTTATTGACAAGTGCCGCGAATATCACTATCAAAATTACCACGCTTCCATTCGATTGTACAAAGTCGGTTTTCTTACCTCCCTTCATTTATTTATGGAAAGGCAGAAGTAAAAAGAATATTCACCGATAAACACCGATCTAACGATTCGGATTATGTCATATCGAATGTTTAAAATTACCATTATTTGATATTCCGTACTTACTATGAATTATATGTATATTCTCAGGCAACGCAGTCTTGCCGGCATATCTTACGGTTATTACGGTTAATAACACGAATATCGTATTACGAATTTACGAGGTCCGCTAATTTTATGATTATTAACTTCGCATTCTATTCCTCGCATCGAGTTCAAGACTTATTATGCGTGAACAGTTTGTCGCCGTATATGATTATTTTTTCGTTCGCGACGATTGATTTTTTGTTCACACAGAACCTTGTTATAATTAATCGTGGTGACAGAACCATACAAATTGTTCAACAAACAGAAAATGATTAAGTTGAACTTCTACTTACGACTAGCTAGATATTTGCTGCTATTTCTCTTCTCCAATGCTTGCACCTTCGACAAATTATTGGTTTTCTGCAAAAATTTACACTTAACACGTACTGCGCGAAAATACCAATCGAAAATTGTTTTTCGTACCGAACTCGACCTCTAGTGAAAGCAATCTCAAACGATTTACTCTAACGTCACTTAAACCTACTGTTGATACATCACGTTTTAACACTCTACAGTTGATATATATGTTTTCATAAGAAACAAAATTAATAAATATATAAAAAGATAATCGTAACATTTACATTTGTACAGCGACGATTCTTTATGTTTTGTGGCTATGTGTTCGTACGGGTACCCCGCATGTCGATCAAAGATTCTGCCCAAGCGACTGTTGACGAATCCGACCGTAATCGAATTTCCGGAGCGCTGCGAGCTCGTTCTGCTCGCTGGCCCCACGTTTCCGTCTGGACATCTGACGTACCAGCGTTCGCGTATCTTTTCAAATTATTCACTCGCAACTTCGACAGTAATTTCATGTCTCCGGGATAATGAACGGGAGTTTGAGAGGTCGATGGTTTAGTAAGTAAGGAACTATTTCCGGTTCCATTCTCATACAATCTAAGTAGTAAATTCGTCATATAAAGTGGGAAAGTTAAGTAGAAATGGGGTAAATGTATCTTACTCGAACGATTGACACTTCGCAGCCTCTTTCGCATATGGTTTTTTATTTTGTGTAGCTAATTTTGCAATAATTTTTGCATCTACGTTTATCATTTTCGGCTTTTGCGTAGAGGCCTTTAGTTTCTCGATGTTCAAAGTCAAATGTTGTATTTGCACCTTGAGCGTCGCGTTTTCATGAACTAATCGGGTGTTTCTTTGTAGCACCTGAGAGCCCATACAACAAACAATGATTTCTTTCAGCAAGAAATATAGAACATTATAGGATTGGGCAACGATAAACAAGAGCATAATATTTCATAATAAAGTTCACCTGTAAAAATTTCGCTTTACTTAAAGGTAGGCGCTCTTGGAATTTTTCGGACACAATTACGTTAAGCTCCTCCCTAGCCTCATCCAATTTTTCCATCGTATCCGCCATCACGTGGAGGTGTTCCTTTAATAATTGATCGAACTTTTGCCTCAACGTATCCTTCGCATATTTCATTCGCAGAAACTTTATACACAAATTGTATGTCGTCTCTGCCTTTTCATTCAACTCCTCTCTGAGCGACCTGTTTTCCTCTTCTAAAGATTCACGTGCTTCTTCAAATTCCATTCGTTGTCGGTGCAATCTCGATGCCCCGCTTACATTACGCGTCTTTTGCCGTTGCATTTCATTGTTAAAATAATCCTTTTCCCTTTGATAGAAAAACCTTTCATCATCCAACTGCTCTGGAATTAATTCAGTACACTTAAGGATCGCGATAAGCTTCACTAAGAATTTCCCAAGTCTTACGTTTAATGTTTCTAAAGTGTCTTTGATGTTTCTTCAACTCGGACGATAATCGTTCGTTGTCACGTTGCATATTTATTAATTGCATATCTTTTATTTGTATAACATTTTCTAAAGACGTAAGTGTTTCCTTTAGGTCTGTCACCTTTTAATCGTACATCAGAATCATTAATTTCTACGAGTATATGTATCTCCATATACAAAATAATAAATGTACTTGTTGACGTAAATTCGTTAACTCTTCGCTGGCGACTTGGCATTGTGTATTTGAACAGAAAACTTTTACGTCCGTGTCGTTGATCAAGTTACTTTTTGAACTAATACTCTGCATATCATAATAGCGAATGTTACGATCTAGCGACGAGCGGTAAAGTTTTTCTTGACCTTAAACCATATCACATCAAAGTATTGTGTATCGTCGCCTATTGGTAGTTACTCACCTCAATGTACAAGCAGAATTTACTTAAAGAATTTTTTCATAAATCTATGTAGGTTCTGTTTATTTGTAAACAGTTTAAGGATTCTCTTTACAAAAACAAGTGTTTCCTTCACACGTTGAAAATCATTGACATAATGTTATTTCCACGAGAAAATCGAGAATCATATAAACGGGCAATTTCTTTCCGTCACATAATGACGAAAAATCATTTTCGTTAAATTATTAATGGTTTTCTTGACTGTATCAACAAATGACGAACGGTAAATTGTCACACGAGCTTTTTTAACCTACTTAATCTTTACTTTACAATGCCAGGAGAAGTATTAAAATAAACGTTACATCATGCCATACTGATTAAAAGTTGTGAAATTTTTTATTGTATCGTATATGTACAAAATAGGTGTACAGACTACTTCAATCGCATGGGCGCGTTTTAGACACGCTTTACATATGCATAAATCGCATATAACACTGATGTAAGAGCATCACATTGTGTAGTACACCTATGTAACCCTCTCTTCTGTTTATCTTTCATCAAATGGAATGAATATCGAGAGATGACTTGTAAATATGTTTCATTCTTTTTTTTTCTTAAATTCTGATCTCGTTTTTCTTTTTCTCCCCTTTACAGTTATTAATAACATTTTATTATAAAGGGTTTCTGTGACTATTTACCCCTTTCCCCATCTTGTACACACGAAAATAATAAATTACACTGGAACGTTATCTTCGCAATCTGTTTTTTTTTTTTACCATTAAAGAGCGTAGTTATTCAATTTTTGTGAATCGCGTTTACATGTCTACAATTAGAAATAGTGTATCTTTGTAATTACTGGAAGTGTCGATGAGTGAATAACACGGTATCGGAGAAGACAGAAAATGAAACAATACAAATATACCTCGCTGTAGGTACGTCCGTGCTTTCCACTAATTTTATTAACAACAACTGGGCCAAAAATGTACGACCTTTTATTCACGTTCAACTTAAAAAATAGTGTACCTTACGTTACCCCACGGGCTTTTGGTTCTTTTATATCTTTTCGTTCCTTTTTTACTTTATTTTAACGTCTTCATAACAGGATAAAACAACCCAGCGTGTTCAATCGGCTCTGAGAGGAATGCCCTTCGAACTTTCAACTCCATAAAATTTTGTCAAAAAAATAATTTTTAGTTCGCATCCCTAATATCCCGTAGAGTTCATTTAATACGTTTTAAGGGTCATTCCTCTAAGGCATTTGATAGAATGATGTTAAAAGAATACGGCTCGCGTCTTCCATTCGCGTTAAATATTATCACTTAATTAAAAATGTTCATGGACCAATATGCGATGTTATTCTTTGTAAACTATTACGTAGTGTAACGTTTTATATCTTATTGGTCCAGTTGTGTTGTAGAAACGTGGAAGGCAACGTTTGTCATCTGATAATCTGGTGAAACGATACTAGATTTCGCACAACTGCGGATGATAATGATGGACTTACGCTTATTAGCCTAACTTAAGAGATTTTTGTGTTTCCATATCAGTAAGGCTCGAACTTATTTTTTCTTGTTCTTATTAGCTTGGTTTTTGTATTTGGCTGCGGTTGTTAATTTGGCATTCTTCTTCTTCGGTTCATCATCTTCATCTTCCTCGTCGTCCGGCTCCTAGTACGTTAAAGTAAGAAAGAATATAGCTATTTAGACACTTTAGAAACTTCAGAAAAGGATTGTATTTGCTGACATTCTAACGCCTTGTTACCAAAACCATAATCCGATCACAATTCGTGGAAAAAATAGGAAACATGATGATTAAAGAATAAAAGCAGCTGTTTCAAAATAGCATGGTTTATTATATAAAAAATAAAACAGACACACATGGAATGAAAACACAAATGCAGAAAGTTACATCCACGTTTATCATTTATTCCTCAAACAATCTTCTGAGCCCTACCGCCCCCCGGGGACATTTTTAAATTCTTGTAATGTAAGTTTAAAATATTCTTGGTAAGACTTGTCATTTTTTGGAGGATGATTGAATAGCAGCATTTTATAATATTAGGACTCTATTTGTCTACAGCTTCATCCACTCTGGCACGCTTGGTGCCATTTTTTTTACCCTCTGCAGAATGCTTTCTTTTCTTTTGCTGTGCCTGAAATTTGTATCCTTAGTATGTAGGAACTAAATTGCTTTTGTTAATATACATAATAAAAGCATAACAAGAACAGTTAACAACGAAACAAATATTTGCACTGATTCCACTGTCGTAGAAAATGTTCAATAGAAAATATTCTGCATCTTTCTTATTAAAAACTTTTTCATAGGAGCCTGATTAGAATGCAATCACAACGATTAGAATGTCAGTAATACAATCTTTTCCTTTGTTATAATTTTTGATTAACTTTTAATATGTACATAGTTATCTAAGTAATTTAAATATTCATTAATATGTCTGTACCTTATCATCCTCATCATCGTCGATGTTTTCCTCCTCCATTTCATCATCCATATCATCAAACTCTTCCATATGTGTGCCTGAAAATTCAAAATAAATGCAAAAAACTTATTAATAAGTAAATCTCACTTATTTTCCTTAAGNAAACAATAATAGTATATTGATTATAATACTTGATCTTGAAAGAAATATTAAAATTTATATATGTATATGTACGTTTGCAAACGTTGTTGTTTAAAAGCTATCATTAGTTCCATATTGCAATTAAAAATTCGCGCGCAATCCTAACGAAAGATGATGAAAGCCGTCGAAAAATCGGGATTACTAATGACGCCAAATATTGGCCGTATATTTTTACACAGTTAACCCATTGCATGCGGATGCTACAAATACGTAACATAGGTGGCGCTCCGCATGAAGAAGTATTGTCCATTCAGACATTAGAGGCAAACATTAATTTACTGGCCAAAACTTTTCCAACTATTTTAATGTCTGTAATATTTTAGTACTCGATGTGTTAATAAAAAGATATAAAAAATTATGTTATATTTATAATGATTTGGGAGCCATCCTAACACGAATGAATTAGAGACGTGCTTCAGGGATTAAGTGGGGATGTCGTTTCGGATGAAATCGCGCGTCGACGAAAATCCGTTGTTCTTAACCGTACCAGCGACAAAGAAAAAGAGATGCACACAATGCAAAGGGGAGCGTTGAAGTAGAAATCCATTTTCTTACGGATTTTAATACTATTATTTTACGTACCATTTTTATAATAAGCTTCTGATCGGCCCCAAAATGCTGGTTTGTTCCGTCTGCGTCGTCGTTCTTGTGCTCTGGGTCCCATACCTCGGTGGAATTGAGTCCTTTGAGGGTGATTCCTGGACACACAGATCACGATAGTATGCACAGAGAATAACGCAAATTCTTGCCGTTCTATCATAGTTAAGTAAAAAACGCAAGTTCGTTAGTTTCCCTATCGAACAATGGGTACTCTCATTCACAATGGCCGAAAGCCAGCCGGCGTCTCGACCATTAGCACCGCTTGCGTCCGATGGCTGATGACGACGAAAGTAATCGCGTGCGCAATAAAATAAAGTGAACGCTGTATCCGTGTAGGCACGGGTACTGATATTTACCGTAAAGATACTCCTCTGTCATGACGATCGGCTTGATATTAAATGATTCCCGTTAGCAAACGTATAGACGGATCCCGTTGGAGTTTGCGTGCCGTACGAGAAGCAACGAGAAGCTAAAGACGCCGCGCGCACAACGGTTACTGCGCAAAGAACAGTGGTCGCACGTGCTAGACTAACGCGTAGCAAATGAGTTTCGCGTACTCAGTCTTGCGTGCCTAGAATACGTTCTTTCCTTTGATTGGTCGATCTTCGTTCAGCTACCCTCAACAGCGTTGCCATCTATCGATCTACTATTGCTAGTCTCAACTCGATTCGACGATTCGTATTATTTGCAAACAATTCTGTATGGAGAAGCTACATTGTAAATGGAGATGAATCAAATACAATGTATTATTTTATATTATCTGTTAATGACTCTTTTTGTGCAATAAACTTTTGAACTGTAAAAGATAAAAAGAAATTGAATATAATCCATGTGTGCGATAGAATTTGAATGAAAAGTTTGGCAACGTCTTACTAAAAGACTATTGGTCGACGTAAGCTCTGGTGGCAAAGTCATGAAACGAGCATTGACACACTGACACTGACCAACACTGACTGCATAAATATCGGACGCAACACGTGAACGATACTTAAATTGAACAAAAGCGCGATGAAATTATTTCGTAAAAAAAAACGAAGTCCTGCGACCGTACGATTAACGTAAATTGATTAATAGTTTACTGATAATTTTTGTGAGGTATCATCGTCAATCTCGTGAAAAGCTGTGATCGTGATCCTGGGTCAACGACAAGAACTAATCAGAATGCAAGCCAATATGATTATTTTGATTTGCACACTCTTGTTACCGGCAATCTTTTGCAACACTGAAAAAAACGAAACGACATTTATACCAACCCGAGAATGGCAAACCGTAAAGAAAGGTGAGGAAAGTACTTGTCTAATAATCTGCACATATACGTTTTGGGACTACTTTTTTACGCAATTGCCCTTTGCTAAGACCACGTCAGTCAAATCTGTCATCGCGGTTTCTTCAATAAGAAAAGCTATAATTTCTGTGTCTTTTTCTTTTAAGTATAATATTACGTATTCTATAAAATATTCATACAATTTTTTTGTTTATTATTGTCGAAAATACATTGAATGGGTAAAAACATGATGCTACATAAATTATATGTAACACTGATGTATACGTTTCTCCAGATATTAAGATAAATTCAGTTGTGCGTTTAATGTTGTAATCCACTAACTGATTTATGAAAATCTTAATTTCTGCTGTCATTCGATCAACTATGTATCTGTGCTTTCATTAGGTCAAGCTATACCTAGAGGATTGCACGTACGGCACAATTTGCAAACAGGAATAACAGAGGCGAAATTAATGGACAGTGAAGATGCAGATGGGAAAAATTCAAATGGAACCTTAAATAGTTCAAGTGACAATTCCCTCACATTGCACCCTGAGAAGGCAATTTTTGAAGACAAAAATCCGATACCTACGGAGAAGTCTGATTTGTTTAACCATCCGATTGAAGAATTAAAAGCCCGATTGAAACAAATTAAAGAAGAAAATATTCCAGAATTAGATGTAATTATTCTTTCATCGCAGATTGGTTTTCTTTAAGAAACGAGTATTCTAAATTCTTGGTATTTCTAGGAAGAACATACACAGCAAATAAAGAAAAAATTTAAGGATTACGAGACTTTAAAGAAAGAGTTCAAAGCAATGGAGATAAACATTACAACTGACTCAGAATTGATAGGCAACTATTTTCAGAAATTTCAAGCTCACAAAAATGGGGTCACCATGGGAACTTTGACAAATGCAGACAGAGAAGAAATTTTGGATATTTTATATAATTTAGAGTATCTACTGCATCATATTGACAATGCCATAGTTTTTACTGATATGCAAGGGTACGGATAAAAGTAATTTTTGATAATAAAAAATCAGGAATAACGTCAGGCAATATCACAGTTTTTCTTATTACAGCATGACCAAAATTATATCCCCATGTCTGAATGGAACGAATAATGAGATAAAGGCTGAAGCTCTGAGACTCTTGGGTGCAGCTGTTCAGTCTAATCCCAAAGTACAATTGAAGGCACTAGAGAATGACTTCGTCCAAAAACTTTTGCATATATTGTCTACAAATAGTAAAATAGAAGTGAAATCAAGGTGTCTCTTTGCTTTGAGTGCCTTAATAAGACAATTTCCAGCTGCTCAAAAAGCATGGATCGATCATGGAGGGGTAGAGATATTTGGAAAAATTCTTGTCGACGATCAGATGCAAATACAAATAAAAATTATGAAGCTGATTAATGACTTAATTGTGGAAAGACAGTTCTTGCAAGAAGTTGCTGATCCCAAAGAACAACAATTAAAAGAAAAATCGTATGCAGCTGCGGATATCAAAACAAAATTATTGACATACGAATATTGCGATCATGTGAGCAATCTAATGATAGCAAGTTTTAAGGATGAACTTAATGATCCCCAAAATTACGAATTTCTTGAAACCATTTCTGATAGCATGATTACAATTGCTCCAATTTGTATAGATCGGTTTAGAGAGAAGAAGGATACACTATTACCCATTATACAACATTTGTTAAGTTCTTATGAAAATTTAAATGTTCTAATCGATAAACTTAAGACAACAGAAGAACTCCGCGATGAATTGTAGTCAAAACGGTGAACTGCTTTCCTATTTATGTTGCATTGTAAAGTTGTAATTGTACAAAGCTTTACGTATAACAAAAGTATATTTTGTCACGGGTATTTTAATTATTAATCGTTGATATTCCAAAGGGATTGATACTGAATAATACATTTTCAGTCGCAGTCGTTTGTTTATACAAATGCGTGTATGTACAATGTATCATAGGATGAATGTATGTTGCGTATAAGCGAAGGAACGACTATGTACATATATGAACCGTGAGGTGTTTAAATTATTTAGCTAATAAATAACTAAGAGTGTTACGTCTTTTATGTTTGAGAAAATTGTTTAATAAATTATTTCTTATTTCTTTTCATATCTATATCGTCTCATAAGAAAGTAATACCTGTGTTATAGAATAAAATACTTTATTTACAAATCATAATGATTACATATGAACAATCTGCTCATGCAGTCATACTTTATATAAAATATACTTGCCAAGTCGCTGATTTGAAACCAGCTTTATAAGTTCCGAACTTCTATTTACACGTGTTTAAAAAGAATGCTCGTGTACCGAGTGTTCCGTTGTGAAAAGAATACCTTGCTGTTTCGCTCTTAAGTACAAGGATTTGCTTTTGGTTTGTGCGACTTATAAAACATATACGTTTTAGATGACACGCAAATCTATAGAGAAACAGACGGACTTCCCTATTTTTCAGTCCTGTATTAAATTCAATGCAGTTAAATCATCTTTTTCCGCACAATTGTGTGTCTACCTTTGTTTTCAATTGGACAACGAGAACACATACGATTGTGCGACGATGAAATATTCTATTTGCATCAAAGCTAACTCATCTAATACGTGAATGTCTTTAAAATATATATATGGTTTCTATAATTATTTACTTTTTAATACGTGGAGTAACTTTATATCTATATACCAATTTTGTAGAAGGAATTTTGTTCTAAAAATTACATTCGTCATGGTCTGATATACAAATGGTATGTATTTGCCTCCAAAAATTTTTTTTCACAGTAGGAGAAATAGGTGCACTACATTATTTACAATATACTTTAGGAACTTAAGAATATACATACTGATGTGCAAACAGCAAATAAATTGTTACTGGCAATCGGAAATACGCTTATTATTTGCGTAGTTAATATAACGGATTTTATTTTTTTTAATTTCAAGATATTTTACTTTTTAACAATAAATAGAGAAAGCATAAGCGTTATGTTACGGTTATCCGTTTTCACAACGTGAAAGTCATAGACATCAATACTGGTTCACAGTGTAATGCCTAGATAACAAAGTTTAAGTGTAAAGTAAGTCGATATTCCATAGAAACGAAATGAACGTTTCCCGTTAAATCGTTTTCGACAGTTTACGGAGGAACATACGTATATTTATGGATAAACTATGCCAGTTTCCTAACATTCTTATATATCATTACATGGATACAAACTGTTTAATAGTAAATTGCGAATGTTACGAACCCCAATAAACGATCGAAAATATCAAAATAATTCAACCCTCCCCTCTCATACTGCTTTCTTACTCGCCACATCTCATTATTCGAAAAATGTTAATCACCGCGAAACGAAAATGTGCATCACTGAAATGAGAATTAATGAAGATTATGTCTAAACACTGCAATTAAATTGAATGTAAAAGTACTAGCCACGTTTCGAATATACAGAGTGTGAAGTTGTATTTCGAACTACTCTTAATATAAAAGTTGTATAATTCATGAAGGGATTTGGTCAGTCGTCGTTTCTCTACCGTCTTCCGAATGCACCATGGTTGAGCAACAAGTATTTCACGGTAGAACCTTTTATGGCAAACACGAATTACTTCTTTCGACACGTAATTAGGGACACTAATATAAAAAAGGAAAGCTACGCGTTAATGTAAATCGATATGACTCGACGTAAATCGATATAATATTCGATACGAAGTAAATCGACAAGTTGAACCTAATGCTATTGCAAGACGAGATAAACCTAATCGCAAAAAATCGTTAAAACCGCCATCAGAACAATACCAAAAAGTAACGCGAGTGTTTGTTTTAACGATTCTCTCGGACTAGATTCTTTAAGCAGTTCAGGCAAAATGGTCACCATGCCAATATGCAGGAAGCCACCCGCGGTGAAAGGTAATATCCAACTTGTCTTGGCTCCTGAAGAAACAATAATCAGTGAGTAGGAAAAGTATATCGTTCGGTCAGAAAAAAATGATCCTTGAACAGAGAGATGCCTGCTTACCTACTTCGCCGCCAGAAAAGAGCACCGCCGACATGGCACCGAAAACGCCACCGCTAGCAGTGATAAGCTGTGCCCGCGCAGCTTCCCATCTGTTGAATCCACTGCGTAGCAAAATCGCGAAGTCCCCAACTTCATGAGGAATCTCATGTACGAGTATAGCAAATGTGGTAAGAACTCCCAAGCGCATGGATACCATGAAAGATCCACCCACAGCCAATCCGTGCGTGAAATTGTCTATTATGTTGGCTAACAAGTTGAGGTAGCCAGTTATGTGTTTTGACTTTTTCTTTATAACAGTCTTTTGATCGCCAGTTACGTCATGATCTTTCTTAGAGAGGCTGTTCGAAAAACTATTGGTTTTCGTCAATTTCTTGAGATAATCTTTCGCTTCGCCGAACGGTAGACTTTTCAGAGTGCTCGACAGCTCATCACACATTAATACTGGCTTCATGCCGTTGGGAATGAAGCCATTCTTATATGCATCCTTGAAACCATTTGGCAACTTGATGTAACCGTTCTTTTTTTCCAAGAAAGGCTGCAACAATTCGAAATGTTTGTATAAATGTCATTAATTTTTATCATCATCCAACTACTAATGGCATATTTATTAAGTACCTCGTTTATGGCTTTCGAGTATTCGTTAAGAGGTCTCTTTGTAGAACCGTTTTTCAAATTGTTCGCGATCAAATTGATGCAATTGTTATTCTCCATCTCCTTCTCAGCTTCTATACTGACTTCTTCAGATATTTCTGCATCTTCCTCTTCAGCTTCTTCATCGAAAGCGAACAATTTCTCCACTATAACGAATACCAGAAAACCTCCCAGCACCCACAGACTACACTTCATGGACGGATGTCCAGCATCCGCTCCTGAAACAATAAACATTTTATTTATACACATTATTAACCGAAACTGACTTGATTTATGAATTTCGACCGTACTACATCTCGGAAACCGTAAGTGAACTAGGAACAAGCTGAGGCTTAATATAGGAGAAGACATCTGGCAATTGAAATTCGCAACTGATATACAATGGGGATTTAGATCGTCGCTTTTGAATCGTACACAAAAGCCGTCGCCGGAGAAAAAGCATCGCCTCAAGACTCACTTACCATGGCTCTAAAATGATGAATTACAACTCGTGATCTAAATGACGTGTAATTATAAACTAGAAGGAAGAGCAGAAGAAAGTCGCAGCTGATTCAAGAATCGTTTCTGTCTAATAGTGGAAATATTGATTAAAAATAACAAGTGGTTTAAAAAAGGAAAGTATTTGCGGACAGTAGTTGAAGACGTTGCAAAAGAAAACTAGCAGAGGTCGACAAAGTTCGAACGGATTATAAATTACATAAAAATAGCGTTCGAAATGAAAATAGTGCGTGAATCATGCATTTCATGTACTCGCGACTTAATAAAATGAAAACGAAGATCGCGTTACATACTATATAGTATACTACATACATATGTATACTATTACATACTATATAGATATTCTTTGAATCGATTGATCAGCATACCCTCACTTTAATCTTTGACCTCATTCTTGCATATTTCTTCAAATATGATTTATGCTGTGCTATAAACGCCGAGCAATAAACTCGATAGATTTTCCGAATTGGGTAAAGGTTTTAACCCCGTACGATTTTTTGATGGCTTCCACATATCATTTCATACATGGCTCAATATTGCGCAATTTGTTGCATCTATTATGTAGTGTTTAGACGATGACGTATAAAGAATTCATAAGTCAGCGACTGTTCTAGTGCCATGCTACGATAAGTTTCACGTCATCGCACCGCCTCGGATCTTTTAATATTCTTTAACGATCTATGAAACTTTCCAGAGAGCACAAGGAAATGAAGGCATGTACCCTTCTTAAACAGCGTAAAATAAAATAATGAAAATGTTTTCAAACTCCATTACTTTTACAAAACAGTTCTTAAAAATTAAAAAATAACGAAGAGTTCAAAGTTCGTATGTTCCGGCATTGTAAATAGCTTGGTAGTTATCTAATGTGATTCATGTTCCAGTATGAAATGCCACAGTTACCAGTTGCCAGTTGCCACTTTGCAGATATTACAAGCAAAGACGAGCCTTCAGTTGCTGATGAGTTTATTGTCAACTAGATAGTTTCCGTCCCTTTATTTTCCCATTTCCTCCGATTAAATCGCATGGTTTTTCCCTGTTAGCCAGATACAGCTAGTAATAATGAAACTGAGCTAGTTCGGGCTTGTGTTAGTTTCCTCTAGAGCGAATTTAAAACGAGTACATTTTATTTTTGAATGCTCGATCTGGCATCGATACTGTTGGACTTTAAGACGTAGACTCATTGTTACTAGTTGTACATATATATAAGTATGATATTTTCGCACCTTTCAAGAAGCTGTTCCCCCATGCTTCTGGTAACAGGTGTAGAAAAACGTCGCCCAAAAGACCGCCGACTGCGAAGCTCAGCAACAGTTTTAGTGTACTAGCACCGTCTAGAAAAGAACAAAATCAAGCTGTTAAGAAGACATACGATTATTGGTAAACTTTGTACATAGAGACGCTGGTTAGCGAGCTTTAATGCAACCATCTGGTAGCGCTCAATGTACATATATAGATTCGGGGTCAAAGCGTAAAATAATCTAACGTATTAAATGTGTTCTCGCAACTCGTTTTAAATCACGATTTATGTATAAACGCATATGTGTGCACATAATACGATGTGTATCGATGTGGATGTTCGGCTTCCCTTGCACGGCGCTGATAAATTTTAAAGCTGAATTATGTGGCGGTAGAAGAATTTTACTGTTCAGTGACTTTTCCGTATTTATGGAATGTTATTCTCGATAAAAGTTCAATCAAATTTTTGTATGGCTGCACATCAAATGAAAATTAATTTACGCTATTTTCTCTTTCCTAAATTTTGCAATAAACTTCAAATCAAATTCTGTACTTGATTTATGTAATCAAATTGATTCATATCACTTCGCCAATCCCCGATTGTCAGGTAGATGTACACATATATCGATATCTGTGCTAGGCGAATTAAATGTGGACTTAAAATCAAATCGAACTTAAACTCCCTTCCGTTCGCAATTCATGATCCGATAGCGTTTCGTTACGTTACCGGTTACGTAAAATATTATTTTTGATTCAAAAATAACCGAGCTGTAATCCATTTATTTAGATTTTCGATGTTCGGTCCTAACGAGACAATTAATAAACTTGCGTGCTCAATGAGTATACATAAATAATTTTAATTACTCTCAATTGCATTTGCTAAATTCGTAACTCACAAGATTACATGTATTAATTGCATAAAATAACAGTGGAATCTTAGAATCTACGCGCAAGGGTCATGTTAGAAACAGGATCATGTTTTTCCCCGATATTTTAATCTTATGTGATTCAACAGTTTAAACATTTTCGTATACGATTACGTGAAATTTCTTTTAAGTGTTTCTCTTCTTGGCATCGCAAGCCTTGTATTGATTTCTTGAATTTTAAAGAGGAAGAGAGGAAGGACTCGGCATCTGTATCTTCAAGTTTATTATCTACCGAGATATAAAAATCTTCCAACGTACTGAATAAGTTTCAAGCCAACGTGGTAACATCGCAAATCGGCGAACAATAATTGATAATAAAATTGGCGGCAATACATTCATGATAAATGAACAAAAATCGTTTCCGTATTTTGCTGATATGTGCACATTAATAAAACTTACAGTGTCAAATTTCGCTTGACATTGAACGTTATGTAATTCACGTAATCATAAACAATCATTTAAGTATTACGAAAATATTGTTTCTAAAACATGGTTAAAACATTTTTAAGGCAGCATCAACCAGTGCAAATCACTTAATTTCATGTTAATCATCTAGTGTTAAAATTGTCGCAAATGGGAAATTTAAATCTCATTTTCCATTACTAAAGCGTTCTCCGTACAACTGAAGCACGTGATAAGATAGTCTGGATATAAATATCGCTGGGATTCCCAGTAACTCGGTCAAAACATCGAATGATTTATAATTGTAAAAATAATTTCGCTGCAACTCCATTACTAGAATCTAGACGCGCCATGATATACTCCATTGAAAGGCGCTTTATTGAAAACTGTGAAAGTGTGACAGTGCTTTTTGTAGTCGCTATACGTAATTGTTTAAATGCATCGCACAATGCTTGTAAACATACGCAATGAGGAAACGAGTATGTTCCGCAGTTAACGCGTGACCGAATGGATACATTTGCATTATCTTTCACCACCCGAACTGTACTGTGTTTGGGTGTTTCAATAAATTTTCACGATTGCGCTTGTTGTTCAATTAGATCGGCAAGCGCAGTAGAAGAAATTCTTAGAATGACGTATAATTCACCTTGTGCCATTTTCATGATGAAACTTCGTCATAATGTTGCAAAGTCTAAATTCCCGATATGAAGCTCGAATACATTATTCTAATGTGAAGTGGAAGTTTGCGAACTGATCACCGCTTAATGCCTTTTGAAATATTGATTGTTTTCTAGAAAAGCAATTAGAATAAATTGAGTAGCTACGCAAATATCGTGAACAGTTGATAGCATATCAATGATCGATCAGTGTTCATTGTTTGATTTATTTTCCACAGACCTGTATCGCCGTCTATGATGTTAGCCAATAATTCTGCAAGATCAACATCGACAGATTCACCTTTATTTAGATCAGACTTCTCGTACTTCTCCAAATTCCGAAATAGTTATTTAATGGAAAAACAGGAATGCTCAATTAAATACAAATTTTTTTGTTCTCTGATAAGTGACAAATCTTGCAAGTTCATGCTGTTATGCACCTTCTTACGCGCATATGTGAATCTATTTTTTCCTTTATTCCTCATGTTTCTCTTACAATTAGTATCGACAGTAGTGTAGCAAATAGCAGTAACTTCAAATCTTAAATGATGAAACAACAATAAATAAAAATTCTCTGATTATCTCGTTCAGTAGAGAATCAAGAAAAATTATCGTCACGAATACGATCGTGATTTATTTAGAAGTCAGAAAAATGGTTGAAAACCCTAGTTAAATTTTTAACTGAAAATGCTTCTAACGTTGATTATCTCCTTGTGAAATTACATGGTACACACAAAAAGATGTAGATGCCTGCTGGTTCTAAAATAGAAAAATCAATTTGGTGACGTGCAGGAGCATTCAAAGACTGATTACAACTGGTATTATTGGATTGTCCAAGAAACAGGTGCCAATGAACATTCAATCGTGATGATATCGAGAAAGAAATAGGAAGAGCGAAATGCATTTGCGAGCTCGTATCGTGAGCGGAGTGGCTTGATATGCTTGATAATAGATCGCTCCAGAACAGTCGTTCTCTATATTAGAATACATCTACGGGAAGCCTTGTTTCATGCGACATTATACGCGCGGTTATTTTCAGTTTTATCTATTAACGATAACAATTACATTTTAAACAGGGCGTTAACGATACAATGAATGGAACATTCGCGTCCTGAAGATAAAAAATCAGCGACTGCATTTGAAATGAAATACCCAAGAAAGACTGAAGGAAGTAAACATTTCTTCGAGATAAGACTCAAAGAATAGATAGGAACATTGAGTGAGACGATAGAATTGCAATCAAGCGAATACAAGTCAGATTGAATGGCAGAAAATCGGCTTACGCAACCTTGCATCATCGATTTGAAGTTTCACAATACAAATAAAGATACTTCTGCTGGACAAAAGTAAAAAAATAAGTGCTCTGTTCTGAAAGAAGGTCGATTACCATACACGTAATTCAAGAAAGAACAAGAATGATTCACGTACCTTAATAAAAGGAAAGGAAGAAATTTATTGTCAGTGAAATTTCTTATCATCAGCAGAAACTCGCAGAATTTAGGGAATCCATGGTCTGACCCAAAATGATTTAAATCCAACCTCACGTGTGTTAATTTACTGTTTCAAATTTAAACGACGAAAAACTACGAATGGACATCGTGATTCCTTCGTGCGATTATTATTGTAGCTTTACCGAGCTTTCGGCAGAAAAAGCGTAACAAGCGCGCGACGCGACAGTGTATTGACGCAATTTTTATAGTTTCCTTTCCACGCCTTCTACAGGTATAATCATATATAGATGCTAATGAATACCAGGCGCAACAATTGCTTTGTTCTTTCTTCAATGGGAGACATCGAGGAGCTGTTCAAGATCCGAGGACTCTTCAAAATCTTGCATAAAGGATTCCGGGATACATAAGTATGTGACTAAAACTTACAACTTTTCGGAAGAAATATTAACGAAATAGGAAGAGATATTAAAAGAGGGGGTCATCAATTTCTTGGTCATGAAGCAGAAATAATTGCACATAAGACGGCCAACTGATATGTATATTTCATTAATATCTATGTAACGAAAAATTAATAAAAGAAACGATATAGACTGAAAATTGTCTGCAGATTGGCGTCCTTGAATTGTTTCTTCCTTTAAAATTGTTAATGCCCACGTGCATGTGATCGGAAATTTCATTCGTATTCTTCATTGTCTCGAACAAGTTCCACGACCTTCGGAGTACCGGGACACTATTCCATGCACGTGAACCTTTTACACTCCTTCATTCGCGTGGGTCGATCGCTTTCTGCGCGATTATTCATTTTGACCTTTAAATTTTCGAGAAACTCCTTTGTGAGTGATTAAAAAAAAATTATGAAATCGATTCATCAAATATAAATTAAATACATAAAACAAATGGAATTTACATTAGTCGCTATTAATTTCTAAATTCCATTATACCACGACGCAGCGTATGAACTCAATGCAGAATAAGTTCTACGACCTTGTACGCTCGCATCGGCGTAGGACAAGCAGTATTATACGCGAACCTCGAATTGTGCATCTTGCATAATGGACCATTCAGCACGCCTTTTCACTTTATGTCGCCGAGGAACGGACCATCAACCAGAGAACACTTGTAGATGAAAATGGTAGTCTATCGTATAATTACGTCTTCTAAAAACTTTTTTCTTCATTTTTGTTTACCTTGTGATCCTAATCGATGAAAAAAAGAATATAAAGTCCTGATTGCCGGAATTCAATGATGCAGAGACTTTATTTTAAGCAAAATCGGGGAACATCCCTTGACGTAAGAAAAGATGATGATTGCTAGACCCGCTGGTATTTAGAAGAAAATGAGCCCGTCAATCATGGGCCCAATTCTGGCTCGAAACAGCCATGTGCCAAAAACAACTGATCCTCAACGAGTTTCCCGAACGGGAAATGAATTTTCCGATCACTGCCGTTTGTACATCGTCTGTCTATTTGCCTATTTTTCTTGTGATTTCGAACGAGCTTCATACTTTTCATACTTCTAACATTATAACATAAGAAAATTAGAAGACAGAGGAAATTGAACGAAACCATCTACATATCATCGATACATGCCTTTTGAAAAAAAAGTGGTCCTAGACCCGAAGTACAATAAACAGTGTGCAAAATTGCGAAGGCCACGCTGGCGAGATGGTAGTTTCTAGAAGAACTGCTAAAAAAGTATTCCCACAGGATACTCTTACTATAGTCGTCTTAGCGATAATACGTGAAATAAACGACAGTATTTTTGGCGTATTTATATCAATTCTGACGCTTATCCTTATCACGTTTGATAATTAATTAGAAAGTAATCGTACAATTTCTTCTTTTTTTATGGATTACAATTAAATTATGAAAAAACATTAAAAAACTGTCCCCCAAGGCGAAGTTTAATCAAAATCTGTTACTGAGTGGGTACTAAAGCGTAGCATATCGAATATCTTCCTTTTGCATCGCTTAACGATAACGAGTTAAGTACGATCGAAGAGACGCGAATATGCTGGCACGATTCGGGGCGCGTTTCGCTGAAGGAGACGAGATTACGCTTCCGAGCAAGACGCTGGCCGGAGCATCGAACGATGTGGCAAACAATATGCGCATCAGACTGTTTCCACGTGGCCATTGCGTTTACTTTCGAGGCGCCCAAGAAGATTCTACCGACGTAATAACCCGTCAATTATTTTTACTTCGCCTGCAACTACGCTACAGTGTCATTCGTGGTTTCGTCTACGTGAAATAATTATAAACTTCTTTTTTAAGAAATTTGGGAAAGTGGGGTACTGCGGACGACGACGCCATTCGAAGAATTGCAACATAGAGCTCTGGTGAAATCGTAGTCATCGATCTGTTTTTATTGATTTACAGAAGTCGGAATATAATGGATCGAGCATTCAAAGCAGTCAAAGCTATATTAATGCGAATATAATTTCCTTTTCTAGTTATGTAATTTCTGCTACGAAATATCGTATCGCTTGCCATTGTAAATTATTTAAAGAACGAGAAACGACAGTTTTATTGGTTTATGAATATGTATGCCCTAGGAGTCTGACAAAAACATAATTATACTGGAATGTGTTCTTGTGATATTAGAAGAAGAGAAATGATCGTCAATAATGATTGTATATTCGAATATGTAATATTGACACTTGGCCTCAAACCTGAAATGTTTCATAGCGAATCGCTTGACTGCAAACACTTATTACCGTCTGTATCACCTACAACGCAAAAGTCTCATGTCTGGGTCAAATATCTGCGTAGAATAGTAGTATTTTCAGCATATGAAAGCATTGTAACAGAAGGAACCATCAAATTCCTAGAATAAATACAGTTCAAACGGTGCACAATTCAATGATAATTTTTAACAGTTGTAAAAATGATGTACGAGTTAAAATTGATACAAATTACTATAATTCAGAAATTTGACTAATTCAGCAAACTTTAGTTAAGTTCATTAGATGCTATCTAACAAACAAAAGGTGATTTAAATAAATCAGTATTAAAGGTTTTCATCGAAGAATAGTATTCGCTCATTGCGCGTACGTGATTTTAATTAAAAAACCATTAAAGGAGAGCAAAATTGTATATCAAATTTCAGGAAAAGAAAAAGTCGGAAGTGTTCTGTTTCTGTGCTTCCAAACCAAATAAATGAAAAAAAACAAAAACATTTGTACTCATTTACAGTATTATCGAAGTAATAAGTAATCGTTCATGAACTCTTTTCTCATTTTTGTTAATCGTACGATGTTCGTCGTATTTCGATTTTTAGTCTAACAAATAATTGCCAAATAATCAAAGTATATTTGATTTATTTAAATTTTAGCGAAATGCACAAAGTACAAACATTCAATTTATTTGAACGCATATTTATGTACTGCGTTTCGTGTCTTGAAACATGTAAATTGTAATGTATCATCTGATTGGTACAGTTCATCTGTACTAACCTATTCTGATCTATTTCCCGCGTGCGCGTTTCAACGTAGTTACATGCGACCTCCTGATTCGTCAGGATCCTCAACAGCATAACACCATGATTCCATTTGAATCATGAAAGCTCAAGCTGACGAGAAAATATGACGTCAAAAGGAGGAATAGAATGATCATCGGGCATTAATAAAGTTTTTAAATACCTCCTGAGTGTAAATTTACACTTCCATCGATGGGAATGATCATCAGGGGAAAGATACCAGTCAGTCCAACCATCGTGCTGCCCAGTAAAGAAAGCAGCCATGGTGTGTGATCAAAGTAGTCCACAGTAGCTTCCCATGACTTCCACATATCCTCCACGACTATTTCATATAGTAATCCGCTCGCCTCTGTGCAATTCTGTTGTACGCACATGCTTGCCGCCATCTTTATCGTGTTGTGTATCGAACACTTTGCTTAACAGAACTATCCTTTCTAATGTTGTTTGATATCTTCCGATTCTCTTGGCGATCTTCGTTGATGTTGAATTGTACAGTACGAATGTTAAGTCGAATAAAAATGACAGGTTCTTTACAGCTTGTTTATCTGAGTATAACCTCCAATTTGAGGGCACCCAGGAGAAGACAATCGGTATCTTTTCACTGAGAAGTGATTCGAAAATGACAAAAATGTATGGAACTGTCTTTGACGCGATATAATCTTGTTAACAAGATAAAGATACGGTATTACAAGCGAGCGTTAGGAAATCGTCGAGACAACGACTACCGAGCGCCCGACTAGCCTACACTGAGGACTGAGTACGGACGCTATGAATCAGACGGTAGCCGCCTCTGCTCTCGTTTGCTTTTTGTCGATCAACTCAAGCCTCTTGCTATTTCATACCGCTGTAACTTGGATGATGATAACACTGGAATCGGACCTTTGACAATAAACAAAATAGCAAACGCCGAATCAGGCGTTCCACTCTCGAACTTCCAAAGGTCTTTGCGCCCGTCTTCTTATTTCGTTTCTTCGTCTCACCGTGTGATTTTCTTCAATTCCTCAATTCTTTCTTGATGATGTTCGCGTGGCATAAGTACCATTGAAATAATAACGAAAATAGGAAATATCTACGGCGGTACCTAGCTTACAAATTTGCTATTCCTTTCTGTCTGTCTCTGTTCGCATCCAACGAATATACTCGAAACTTTGAACTTATAAAAATTCGAGGAGAGTCTCGTGATCCGGTTGATCACTTTTATAGACACGAACTTATTAAACACAATCACAGAACGGAGCACACATACAGAACATCTGTGTTTCAAGATTCTGTGAATCTTCAATTTTGTTTAATTTTCGTACTACTTGGTTATGTACGTATAGATTGACTCGCGTTCCAATGCGATAAATGTAAAACGCTCCGTCTGTACGTTCCAATTTATAACGATGATATCTCGTTTCGTTTTAGATTTATTCTGATTTATCAATGCAAGCAAACAAAGAGCAATATCGTCCACTCACCACAACGACGTAACGGCTAATGCGCGTTGCGACGGAGGCGGTCTCTTTTATTGTTACCGGAGCGCTCCGAGCGCTCCATCAGGTCGCAGCAAGTGTTGAACAGAAACGGCGTATACGCGACGAAAAAAAACAAATGTTAGCAGAATTAGAAGTGCGAAACGGAGAGGGAAGTGGTAATGATTACGAACTTATAGTAACTCAATTGTTAGACGAATAAATTATTTATTTGTGGAACGAAAACACTTTGAGGTACATTCAAGGGGAAGACGAGAACAAAACTTTATTAAACATTGAAATCGATAAAAGCCTTACTGTGTTTCTTTGCAAATTCATTCCTTATAAATACATACATATATTTATACGAATTATGTGTGTGATTGAGTTAAATGATAAGTGCTCATGCTTGGATAATAATTTCCAACGTACATACATCAGAAGTTTTAATCATTTTCATGCCCGAAATCTGAATAATTCATTAGGATTTAAAAATGGATGCAATTTAGCATCTTCATTTTGCACAGAATGACATTCGTATGTAACAAATATGGCGATAGTGAAAATATTTAGCACTTTGATCACTCCACTTCTGCGTATTATCTTTCGATGCATGTATTGAAAAAAACGCTATAATAATAAACGTTCTGATTCGACGAATTACATAAGTTATCTAAAAATTGAAAAATTGCAATAATACTTCACATTATCTTTGCAGAAATTTATTACGGCGTATTACGAAACACCACTTTCGCGATCGCCATTTTGATAATCGATTAACGTTTTCCTTAGTGTTAGATAACAATCGTCTGTCTGTAGCTATTATTGATAAATTTAATGGATGTCAAGACAAAGAGCGGAAAGAATGAAGTCTAAATATTACAATTGTGAGCCCGTGCACAAAGACTAGATTGAATGAGAACTAACATTTCCATCCGATGTGATCTGTAACATTTGTTTTACATGAAAGTGTAGATAATTGTTAACGAAGATCTTGTGACCGACTGATATACATTCCTTTCAGATATCAAATTGATGTATCTATCGTATCTAATTAAAAATAAAAAATAAAAATTGATTTATAATAATGAAATAAATAAACATGTTTATTTATGTTAGCATCTTCCTTTTCTATCGGTACACCTACAGTTGATAATATGCAGCTAATAACGCCATCTTTAATAATTTGTATGTATTTAATAATTATTTAAAGAAAATTAATGATGACAAATTTTTTCAATTTGCTGTTTTTTTTTAAATAATCATGCACTGTGTGAGAAACAGCGAAGTTCTTCATCGCACAGACATAAATTTATGAAGATTTAAGTAAACTGTCGAAAAACGCTAATATTTATGTTATTTAAATAAACAAAGCCGATGCAGAGTAGCTATACGCAGAATTCTGTAAGACGGCATTGTTGGATGTGAATTATGTGCGACCTTAATTAATCAAATTGCTAATGGCGCTGAGCCAAATAGTGCCTATTTGGCCTGCAATCAAAAAGATGTTCAACAACTGTTGCACATGTACAACGTTTGTCATTCATACAATTTTTATACTCTGTACTTATGCACAGTAGTCATAAGACTGAAATAAGTCGAAATCATATTTCCGGTATTGAAAACAATCTATAGCACGCAACGGGAATAAACATCTTCGTACATCCAGGAACGAGAATATTTATGTTTAAATGAAATCTTAGGTAATAAATCAAATCGACATTTACGAACCTTACGAGGCGATTCGTCAACACGTAATTTTGTAATACAGTCGTCGCAAGGAGTAATTACAACGCAAGAGAGAAAATAGAATTGTTTATGCTTTTTATTTGTTAGATTTTCAAAAAGTCCGGCAATGTACCATGCCCTCTGTTGGCTGTGCATCCTTACGTGGCACAGCTCTCCAGCGAATCTATTTTAGGGAACGACAGAAAGTTAAGATTATTTTAGTTACATTTTTCACCTCCGGTCTAGAACGTTAGGGTGCTTAGCATAAGAACATCACGATGGTCGAGTAGGTCGATTTTCGACGAGCATCGAGGGTTGCATGCGTTCTAATTAAAAGTACAAGGGAAGATGTGCGAGGGGGAAAAAAAAGAACAAAATTTTAACATTATTATGAAATAATTATGTAATCGAGGCGTCGGTACATTTTTAAAAATTAGAAGATGATCCATGCTCGCATACGTCGCTCAGAAAGCAACAGCGAAGAACGTACGCAATCTCGGTCTTCGTATTTTATCAAAAAATTAATTCTTGTGTGATACACCTAAGAATAAAAATATTTTTATATGAAGTCTAAATCGTTAGCGATATCGTGAAAGTGTTTATTCCTTTTTACTCTGTTTCTTTCCTCACATAGTGTAATGTCGAAGTGCAATTACAACCAGTGTACAGTTTGCAAAAGGATATATACATTTATATATTTTCGAGTATTAATTTTTTAATGTTTGGATCCGTTCTCGATCAATCGACGCATCATGGATACACGAAGAATGTCAAATTGGAACGTGTTGAGCGTGGAAGCCGCGCTTCAGCAGCTGAACGTTTTCGAGGAGGGCACCGAAAAAATCATAAGACGACCAAATACGGTAACGAAACAAATATTATGTTTAATTTAATCTTAGAGATCTTCCGCTCTTTTATACGATCGAAGAATCTCAATTGCATCATAATATTTTAGCGAACAAATTGCAAAACGTCAAAAACGTGACGTCTTGAAGGTAGACTTTTATTCTAGATCCCGTTGCTATAAGATTGTAGATACCAACGGGTTCTACCTATTCTTATTTAAAGCTGACTGACTGCTTGATTTATTTTTAACTAATTAAACGACTCAGTTTGATGCGTGTCTCGGCATGATTCAGTCAATTGCACCAGGTTCCTAACAGATTGCTTCCAAATCTTTTCATAATTCGTTTCTTGAAATTTCGTAAATTATGAACAACGTGATGTTAAACTTTTCCGTGGCTTCATTACATGATTTCGACCGATTACGAACGGTGCAGTACTTCGGAAATTACTTGTTCTATTGAAATGTTCGATTGAGGATAAATCAAGTCGACGATGAGTACCTGGCATCGATTGGACGTAGAATACGCTACAAGTGCTATATCTAGGGATGATCTCGATGGTACTACCTATCGGAAGAAACCTGTCTCGACAGCGGTAATTAAAATTAATTGAAAAACTATCCGAATAACATTCGAGGAGGCATTGAATGCTTACTTTTGTGTACATAATTGAAGTCTGAACTCCGAATTCGAACGTGTAATACCATTCGCCTTTGTGTTGCATAATGATGCCATAATCGATGAAAAAAGGCACAATATAAGATTGACATAATCTAAGAATTCATTTAAGAGATTACCGATATTATCGATTACATACTATCTTCTCTATGACGCCAAATGTTATCGCGTTTTATTTTATTTTGCGATAGTCGCCATAAGCTTGGAGATAACAAATGTTAATTATTAGAAAAAAGCGTTGAGCAAAAATACAATCGAAGCGACATTGTATACCCAGCGTGATAAATCGAAACACTCGACGTTTCTGATATATCTAATACTTATTATCAGATAGTGGGTTCATTTTCCTCTTCACTGGATTCTTCTCATTTTTATAGCACGTGCGCTCCTATATTATCGCGCAAAGTACCACGTGCATGAATCCGTCTTGTCGTAGGTCTCGTGTCGGATAAGTTCCAAGTCGTACATCAACCAGAACATTCTGGCAGATTTCTACAGATTTTACGATGTTCGAAAACCTGACAAAATAATTTTCATAATTCGGTACCCTTCAATCTTGCTTCTATTTATGGGAGAGAACAACGACCGCAAAAACAGTTTCTATGCGTGTAAAATATATAGTATCGTAGAGGAAAGCAACAAATGACTTTTCATTTGTGCGGAACTCGGAGGAATCTGTACATGACTGATATTCGTAGAGTTTGTTTTATTGTTCGTTCGCACAAACAAATTGGCGAACAAGAATTATGGTCAGAGTACACACGGATGTTTTCGAAAATTTGCGCGAAAATCTGACGTTTCACGGGGAAATAGAAGGAAACGTATCTTGGCCGCCGGTGTCGAGTTTAAAATTAAAGCGGAGACCGTGCTTCCAAGTCTTATATTTAGGATGACGCGCAGGCGCGATCCGATTAGAAATCCCGTGGAAGACTTAGAATTTCTGGTTCCCTCGAAATCCATTTGCAGATCGTGATTTTCACGAAACGCTTTCGACATCGAAGGAATATTTGTGAGGTGCTTTCTCGTGCATTGCGGAATCGTTTAACTCGTGCGCGTCACGTTGGGTCGAAAGTTAGCCAGATTGTACGTGTAGATCATCAAGCATCTCGGAATACCCTCGCCCAAACTTTTCTTAAAGAGTCGTGTTATTAAGTTTACGGTAAAAAAATAATAAAATGGATCTCGGGGGTGTGGATGTCTGGGGTCAGATCGCCGTGGAAACGTCTCAAATGTTCGTTTCCGAGGGTGGCGTCGTTAAAAGTCGCTTCGCGGGTACAGTAAGTGTGACATAGAGTGTCAAAAAGGATAAAAAATATTGACGACTTATATTAAATCGAATTACGTAATTTCGTCTGGAGTTAATCGTGCATTATCTTCGCTATTCTAGACGATAGAAAAATTGCCGGACAAGGTGCTATTGAACGTCTTTAACTATCTGTCTCATCGCGAGATCTGCAGAGTAGCACGTGTATGCAAGAGATGGAGGCAAATCGCATATGATACGCGATTGTGGTCGCATGTATCTCTGCGTCCGGAAATCAGCGGATTACACGTAAATTCGTTGGATTATCTACTGCATTTGATCAGGTAGAGAATATTTCCTCGATATAATGTTCATCTCAGTCCGAGCCAGAAACGATTCTTTACTACTTGCCAAAATAACGCGGATCAGGGATTTAAATAATCTTTTTGCTGATACTAGCACGCGTTTTGGAGCTTCTTTGAGATACATAGAACTGCCGATCGAATTGATCACCCATACGGTTCTCCACGAATTGGCGAACAAATGCCCGAACTTGACGCACATGCTCCTTGACTTCTCCACTGCCATGCAATTACACGATTTCTCCGAAATGCAAGCCTTTCCGACTAAACTCAAGTACATGTGCATTTGTCTGTCGGAGGTAATTTTCATGGAAGGTTTCATGAGGAAAATCTACAACTTTATCAACGGTCTAGAAATTCTTCATCTGATAGGTCCGTCTTCATATCTATCCGAATCCTTACGATATCAGTTGTTCGAACGAAATATTGGTTATACAGGAACGTACGAAAAAGTGGAAGAGGAAGAAGAAGAGATCTACGAAGTGATAAACGTGCATAAATTGAAATCAGCGACTCCGAACTTGCGAGTGATCAATTTATATGGGATCAATTTCGTAGACGACTCCCACATCGACGCGTTTTCTTCCAATTGCATTCAGCTTGAGTGTTTGGCCGTAAATTTCTGCGCGAAGGTCACTGGGTCCACAATGAAGACGTTATTTCAAAGGAGCAGAAGATTGAGGTGTCTCCTCATGCAAGGAACAAGTAACTAAATCTTCGCGTTTCGTTTACGGTTGTGCCCAGTATTTCACGATACTATGAATATTCGCAGATCTCCAAAGCGACTACGTGATGCAGGTGGAATGGGAGAAGTCTAGTATCCAGGAGTTGGACGTTACCGCGACAGATTTGTCGACGGATTGTCTGATTGACATGTTGACCAGAATTCCGGGTCTTCGCTTCCTGAGCGCGGGCCAGTTGAACGGCTTCAACGACAGCGTGTTGAAAGCGTGGGCCGAGGCCGGGAATCCGCGAAACCTTATCGCTTTGGATTTGGGCAGTTCCGATAATCTGACCGACGACGGGCTGCATAAGTTTTTGTCGCGATATGGTCACCAATTATGGGGATTAGCTCTATCGGGTATGCCGCACATCACCGATCAACTATGGCAAAGCGTGTTGCCCATATTGACCAACGCCAAGTGAGATTACGCTCGTACATAAGAAATTTTAACTTACTGCCTTTGACTTACTGCTCCATATTACTGAACTTATCATTTATTATACATATACAGAACTTATTTAAATTTTAATGTACCTACGAGTGCTTGTTAGTCAAAGGATGAAATAAGAAACGCGCTATGAAATAGTTTTCTCGAGAACGGCTACGTTTTTAGAATCCTCGTGATGGGAACACAGGAAAGGCTTGGCGTGAACATTCACGTGGACCAGTTGATGGACGGAATTGCCAACAATTGCCCGAATTTGGAACGGTTGGAGCTGCGTTGGGATCCAGAGAATCTTCGATTCTCCGATAAGAGTCAGAAGGCTATAGACATACTTCGCGTGAAGTGCATTAAGTTACGATGTTTAAGCTTGAGGTAAGTGACGAGCGTCAGAAGAGCGCAGGAAATTGATATCGTCTATACTTACTGAATAATCAATGAGTTTCAGCGATGGAAGATACTATGAGATAGTTAAGGCCAATTTCGAACGTGCCGATAGACTGACGGTCGTACGGACGACCACATGCTGTCGCGTCTCTAATTACTACCTCTTAGCCAATTACAAAGATTTAGTTTTTAATTAATTTTTATGATAAGCTGTTCACACAAAGCTGTAAGGGATCTATGAACGAATTTCTAAATAATATTGAATTACTGAGATGAATAAGCATATCGAGAAGGTAATTGAGATTAAAAAAGATTTATTGAAATATTTCAAAATATATCATTCGCACAATAATTGTTTCAGGAATAATGAGTCTATCTACGACTGTTTGAGTATTTATCCCTGGTATTACAAGATGAAATGCGAAAGATAACGATATACATATTTTTTTACTCTATTTTCAAGCGTGTAGTATTGGTAAAAAAAAACATTTTAGACCTAATTTCCTTATCCCACTGTTATACTTAATCGAAGAAAGAAAGACAAAATGAGATTGAGAAATTATAATTGTTATCAATGAAAATCATTATGAAGAACCTTGAGAAATAGAGGCGCAAATGTAATTAGATTTATCGCGCTAAAAAAAATTCGTCAGAATATAATATTGACACGATAGACACGCACAATGATTGTTTTAGTGTTGGTAATATCGATTATTCGCTAATTTATTCATGCATCCGTGTAGACGACGACGACGTCGCACTGGCCACGGCTGGTCGGTCGATTTCATTCTCTAGCCTAGCCACATGCCAGACCTTTCGTTTATATGTTGCGTTATAGTCGACGCAGAACCGTCGTGTGGCTTACACGACTTTTCGCATGATTCCCGTAATTTTTCGTCCCTATCGTTGTGTCTCCTTCCTCATTGCTCGTTTCATCCCCGATCTTCCGTCATGTCTGACATCGAGGAAGATCTGACCACAAAGAAGCTGAAGATTGTCCTAGTTGGTGATTCCGGGTCCGGCAAAGTGAGTTTTCCAATCTTCTCAGCGCTCGCTTTGTCACTTCAGTAATTATGTTACAAATTGTATTAAAGAACGGTTAACGTAAGTTATTTCTTTTCACAAGAATCACAAAAAAACGTCCTCATACAAAAATTGAAAGTGTAATTAAAATTATTGACAAGTTTGCATTTTTTATATTTTCGTTAAACATTGCAATTAATTTTATTTACGATCGTGTAATTTTGAATGAAGGTATACAAGTGTTGTAGATGTAAATACTTGTAACTCGTATAATTAAATCGTTTCGAGTTCAGTGTGCCTGAACTTCGAAGAGTCAAGCAACGTATCGATTTATTTCTTTCGTGCAAAGTAGTTAGTGCCGCAATTAGATTGCATAGTCACAAATACCATCTGACGTTAGTATGAATAATAAATGTTTTGTCTTACAATTTTTGATCTTCAAGTATACCGCTTGCTGTCAGTAGTAAATTATTAATAATTACGTCTTTAAAGCGTTCACGTAAAGTGACGTATTCGTGACTGAAACCATTTCACGTCAATCCTTAATTTCTCCTTCTGTTGAAAGTTTCTTACTCTTTAATTATTAACACAACCAACTCTCAGTCACGAGATATATTATTAATTATCTAGCTGACGGACATATACCTAATCGACTTTTACGTCTTACAATTACCATGTACCCGAAGAAAACTTGTAACACAATAATTCGTATTACGAAAATAATGTACAAAGATTTTAGCAAAAAGATAAGACAAAATTGACGGAACAGCGATTCTGGATAACTGAAATTCAAGGATGCCTGTTTAGACGAGCATCGCTCAAAAGTTTTGCAACAACGAATTTACGAGGCAGTACACGCCAACGTCTGGGATCGACTTCTTCCTGAAGAACGTCAGTGTTGGCTATTATAAAAACGTTAATTTACATTTATGGGACGTCGGCGGTCTCGCGTTACATGGGAATATGTTGGACAAATACGTGTTCGACGCACACGTAAGGGAAAAGAGCACATTCTGAAAATAATATTTCGCCCGAGAAATTCGAGCCGTTTTCTTCATGAAGAGATATTCTTCCAGATTATCCTTTTAGTCTACGACGTTACGAACAGCTTCAGCTTTGAAGTTTTAGAGGAATGGATAGATAAAATTAGGAAATTGAACGAGAACTATGATGAGTCACCTTTGATGGCTGTTGTTGGAAACAAGTGTGACATGGAGCATCAGAGGTCGGTGAAAAGGGATCGAACACACAAATTCGCTGCGGATAATGGATTTCCAACGCATGATGTTTCTGCGAGAACTGGAGAAGCGGTAAAAATTTTAAAATCGCATTGAACAGAGAACAATTTTCTGGCCCTGTTCATATACAGAAATTTATTTCTGTTTAGGTGTCACTGTGTATAGTGACCTTGGCCGCACAAATCTTGGGCGTTCGATTGACAAAGACGGATCAAGATTATCACAAACCGATAATAATCGCGGAAATAGGCGACACGGTCGATATGAATATGATTCATAAAGTTGTAAAGAGGATTCCTGCCAAAAGGCAAACCCAGATTCCCTTTTATCCCCATTTACCAGGCTCGAAGTCGACGGTGTGTTTGTTACAGTGAAAATTAACGTGTAGTTATTCCGATTCAGTATTTTTCACGCACACAGGGAATAGATATTTTTTAAATAGTGAAGAGCAAGTGTGAGGAGATAGAAGATGTATATACGTAAGAAGTTTGAGCAAATTATTTTTCGCTACTCTCTTATCCTAGACGTGACGTTCACTTATACCTTTAAGGGGCCAACAAAATAAACCACTGATGTCTTCGAAGTAGATTTAAAAACCACTTATTTATTGATGAAATCTTACTATGTGCGCTAATGATTGTTAATATGGATTGACGTAACAATGATGAAAATACTTTTATAATAATAGTAATATGATACATTATAATGATGTACATTACACTGTTGATTGAGTACATGCACCGAATTCGTATATACACGAGTCTTTGATAGTTTTAATACATACAAAGTTACTCGTGAAACACAATTGTACGGTAATCTCATACAAACAATCACGGTATGGAGAAAACGCCGTACTTGATCTTTAAATATCGTAAGATTAAGTAAAATAAGATGGCAAATGAGAGAATTATTCCACGCAGCAGTATTACTAATTTTTATAAACCTTCCAAATCACTAAATTTTCTCTACGTTTAATTAACAATGGCACTAGTTATGCAGAAAACAATAAATGTACAAAAAAATAAATATACAAAAACGAAACGCATTTAACAATTATAAACAAGAACAGGTAAATGTGCGTATTTACAAAACGATTAGCTTTAAGAATGAGATAAACGGGAAAACGCACATTGGAAGCATCGAAAGGTAAGCACATGTTAATGAATAGGGTATAAATTATGTTGTGAATCTTCATTAGGAATCCAGTAAGAATTTCCGACGACAACGATTTTTATAATCAACACAATAGTACTCAACTTTGAAATCAGTTTTCGAATTAACGCTCCGTTAATTATATGGGAACGGTATGTACAAATTCATAATTTTAATTCGTACCTCAGGTACACTAACACAGAAACCGTCCAGTTGCCAGAGACTTTCATTCCTATCTCCGTCATTTGATTTACAGAAAGATCATTCTTACAATAGTTACGATTGAATGAACGATGTTCATTTACGAACGGTAAAACGCAAATTCCAATCGACAGACACATTTTTACTACAAAGTTATAAGTTCGATCGATTTTATACACTCTTCGAGTTTTATACACTATCGAAATTACTAATTCTTATGGAAAAAAAAATTTTAAGTGCCTCGATTAATATATACTATATACATACACCGTTCGTGTTCAGTCTCTTATTATATGTTATGGAAATTATTTTCTCATCTTATAAATCTGATTTAGTCAATGGTCTTCGTGGCCATACATTCTTTTCGAGAATCTTTTCTTTGGCTTCCCACAGTTGATTGAATTTGTCGTTCAAAGGTGAAACATACGTTTCCAACCACTCTTGTACAGTATAATTATCGTATATGTTTTCCATGGCCGATCTTATCTCTTTCTCGATGTACATTATTTCCATTTTATGTCTATCCAATTCGACGACCGCTCTTTCGACGTGGCTAGGATTCGAAAATGAATATTTCAAATTGTACGATTTCAACCATCCCTTGAAAGTGTTATCTTGCTCCATTTTACTGACTTCTTGAACCAAAGAGTACAATCGTAGCATAGCTGAATAAACAGACATGCCAAGATAGCTACATTTAGTCCATCCATATTGTGGCTCTGGAATACTCAAAGTAATAATGCCCTCGCACTGCAACGCTTGCAGCACCGAAGTCGGAGTTTCAGTTGGAAGTCCGGTTAAATCTGAAGCTTGTAGGATAGCTAAATTTACCGCAAGCGAAGGTATGGCAACGGGCAAGAGTTCACAAAGTACGCTGAAGTGATCATATCGTTGCCATCCAGTTAACATTACACCTTTGAACGTAATCTGATTGGAATATCTGTTAATAATTTCCAACCAACGTTGATGATTCTCCATGTGATAACCGATTTCGGTATAATATCGATCTGGCGCCGTGGCACCCTTAAAGGCTGTAGCAACCCAAACCTCTTTCCAAACTGATGCATAGCTCTCCCACAATTGATCCGTTAAAGATGCCTCAGGATCCGTCGTGTATTTCCAAACAACCGGCTGTACCATTAAGTGTAAACCCCTGTCTATTATTTCTTGAGGTAATATCTCTCTAAATTCGTCATCCCACATGAGAACCGAAAGTCCAGGATACCTATTCCTGATGTGCCTTGCTATTTTTGAAACATGATCTAAGAACAATTGTTTCTTACCCCATTTTCTTTTAAACATGGTGTCCATACATCTGGAACATTCTCCTATCTGGTATACCTCGTCAGCTCCGATGTGCAAATATTTCATATCAGGATGAGTTTCTACAATTTGTTCTATCATCTTGTATATAAGTGGAAGAGTCTTATTATAAGTAGGACATACAACTTGTGGATATCTAGGTACCTCTCTATAATCTTTATACGCTTCTAACTTAAGAACAAACTCCAAGTGACCAAAAGTTTGAATCAATGGTATAACTGTAAGCTCATTTTCTTTAGCTATCTTTTGAATATTAGCGATGTCTTTTCTGGTATAACAATTGCCTGCACTAATATTTTGTATGGGTTCCTCATAGGGAAACATATCTTCGTATTCTATGAGTATACCAGTGGCACCTAATTTCTTGAGCAAACGTAACAGGTACTTGTAATAGCTCACTTTAGGAGGAGCACCTTTCAAATCCAGGTGCACAATTTTATGTCCTTTGAACAAAGGAATCTCTCCATTGGATTTGCCATACTTCAACTCGTTAAATAATTTTCCTCCACCATTTCTCACCTTTCCCATTATGTGAGCCTCAATTTCCTGTCTATGGGCAACATTTTGAGGATTCTCAGTGAGGTCGCTCAATGGATAAACCTCCTCGATTTTTAGCCGTGGATTTAATTTATTAGGTACAATATTCTCGACCTCATTACCGAGTATGTGATAAATAACTATCAGGAGCGTAAAACTGATCATTATAATAACCATTAAAGAGGCTCTGCCTCTCAACCGTGTCATGATTGTCAATATAGCAGAACATCAAGCTCGAGCCCCTATGTTTTGCTATCCTTTAGTCAATGAATGTTCTTGCTATTTGTAACAATTTGATTATTCTCTTCGATATACATAAGTACATATATCGGCACTTTTACGGAAACAATGTCTGCGTTGTTTGTAAGTTTAACACCTTCACTTTGCGTTACGGTTATACTATGACCAACTATTACATGACGAACTGCCATCTACATGATAAAGTATTGTTGAACATGCACTCGCTCTCTTCGATTCTGACTGCTTCCTCTTATGTTCATATCGTTAGTAAATAATAATGGAGTATTAAGGAGACAAGTGCAAGAAACGTTACAGTATTATTTATGTATTATGTAATTTGTAAAGAAATAAATCATTTTAATTAGAATGAAAGTATCTCTGAAATTTCGAATATCGCTAACTGCGCATGGTCAATAGTAAGCTACGCAAAACAGTTTTATTCACGACATTAAATGAAGATTATACAGATTGTGGTTCAAACCATAATTTAACAGTAGTTCGAGCGAATGATTGTCTGCATATCGATTCCTCTGTGATGTTTTCTCTTGTATATTCCAGTAATTCTACTGAATTATCTCTAAGAGACTATAAAAGAATTACAGAGGAGTTGACATTGTCGGCTCATGGTATGGTGAACGCATCGGAAGGCTCGTCAAAACTGCTTCACGTACCATCACGTACTTGCGTGCCTATTACTGCGCACGTGCAGTTAGCCAAATCTACTGATCAATTTCGAATAATACGATCCGATGTCCAATACATATCACAGTATACATATACATATTTTAAGAAGGCATAAAAATTATCCACATTTTTATGGTTTATGAACTAAATATTTCAATGAAACGAAAGTCAGAAATTTTTTCGGATTATTTTAACTCTTGAAAGCGGCTACAAATAGTATGTAGCATACATGACGCTAAACATTTAAGTCATTGAGCTCTAATAAACTTTTGGGATTGACTGTATAGCCAATACATCCTTAAATTTTAATGTACAAATTAAAATCAAAAGTTTCAGAAATCTAATGAAAAAAAAGTTAAAAAGGAAGGAAAGGAAACGAATTGACTTTTCTTGTATCATCAAGTTATGTGTATTTGTACACCACTGCTTCCTATCATCTTAGTCTTTAAATAACATTTTGTCATTCTGCGCTGAATTTGCTTAATGAGATCCATCAGGAACATGATAATTTATGACGATCTTGAATTTATGATTATGATTAAAGCACGCCTCGCACATACATTGTTCTGATATGATTTCTCAGAAGTAATTAATTTCTCTTCATTTATCATCGCGTAAAAACATTTGGAAATAAACCACTTGTTTTCCAATTGATGAAGAGTAAAGAATCGAATTGATTAGATATGCACAGCGCAGAAGGAAAGGTTCTTGCACGTTTAGACGAAGAGTTCTCATATATTTAACGAGAGAAAGAATCGAAGACGAGGGAAACCGGAGAGGCTCGCGACCGTGTAATCGAATCTCTCGCCGTGAAATCTTAAATCGCAGTCCTTTATCTTATATTTCAAGTTCCTACGAACTGCATGTCTACCCGTTATATGCTTAATGAACGTGACTCACGTGTCTTTAGTTATGACTGCAGTAGGGGAATAATTCTAGACAATGAAGCTGTTTAATGATGCCACTCTACCGGGAGTTTAAGACCATGCGATTGGAATAACGCCCGCGATTGCCTGATCTTTGTATAATAATCGCACTTAATTAGAAAAATCAATTTTACATTTCTACGATTGTATCCATATAAAATAGAAATCGTATTCGCAACAAACTACGTTTAAGGACAAAATTTAATTCTTCGCAGTATGTAATTCTATATCGGTATTTAAGGAGAAAGTTGGATTTTGAATTGCGCCGTTTCTGCGCAGTAGATCCTTGAACGATGCGCGGTTAGCGATCGATGCACACATACATAAAAAGCGCGACCGCGGGGGAATGGAAAGCTACCTCGAGTTCATGATCTCCGTTCAGTATTTTAGGTATAAAAATTAAGAGTACGATTTGATCAGTATTAGGTTTACGCGAATGAATATCCGCGAAAATTCTACGATAAGCAGTTGATCCGGGGAGACATGGAGGACCCGTCTTTTCAAGTTATTATCGTCGGTGACAAATGAAAGAAACGCGGGTTTGACCTCGCTGAACGATACTGTTTAATTCTCGCTGCAAGAGTATATGTACATATGTATAATACTTATGTACATAGTTGCTCGCATCAGTATAACGAGTCTCGAATCGCGTCAACGCTTTCGTAGCAACCAAACTGAAACAAAGACGCAGCTTCGACTATTATTCAGAAATCATGACTCAAGCCCATCCGTACGTAGACAGGCTATACCAAGATTTGCACAGTTCTTTCACGAGCAGTTGCGTGACAGAAAAAAAGAACAGTTAATATGTACTACGAAAAGGAATTGGATCGTGGTACCACCGTTTCGCTAATACATCTGTCTCATGGATACTTTTCTAACTAATCCATCTGTATTTGCAGTTATTTTGTGCTGTCAGCCAATTATGTAAACGGAAACTGGAAAGTTGTTTTTGACCAAAAGACGCGTCCGATTAAATACATAAATCTTCTTTTTCTCGTTTAAAGTCCCACATATTCATACAAAATTTTATAGGAATCTTATTAGTCAAGCCTCTCGGCTAAGACTTATTAAAAACAACGAGAAGACGTTTCTTCATGGCAATGCAGTTAATAGAATATAACATGCCGGCGCAGTGATATGGATATATAATGTACATATTGTATGTTTGTCAACGTTGATACTGTAGATTCGCGTAATGATTAGATAACACAATGCGTTTGGAGCAATGTGTAACAGGTTCTTAAAGAAATTCTTTCAATCGCTGGCACATGTACATTAAAGGTTTAAATTACTGTATACATACATATATTATTAAATACATGTATTTTCAAGAGTCTTTCACTGCTGACAGATCTGGGGATTGAGAATATCGCGTTATTAAAACAAGTTACTGCGCAAGAAGGGGCCAATTACACAAGGAAAACGTTTCTCGCCTACTTTTATTGACGCTGAAGTGTCAGTGAACGGTCGTCTTTGTTTGAACTTTACGTGCTAACAAAAAACGACCGATGGTTCGATAGGAATGTCTGTCCTAATATGTCAATGTAAATACATACTAAATGTTTACATGCTGAAGTAACGGACGTTACCTTCTTTAAAATGAAGAACAGATTGTCCGTAGAGAAAAGATGAAACATTTGAAGTATTTAATTAAAGAGAGATTGATTTTAATCCTATTAACGGTTAATGAAGTGGACTTCCTATTATTCGATTAATTACCTCGGAAGTCGCATTTCGACAGAGAAAAGGTGTCGCGAAATCTCGCGTAAACAAAAGCGGGACACAGTGTGCGCATAGCGCGATTTTTCGCTGACAATGAAGAAAACCTTGCGGCCATCCGCGCACACATGCAGGGCTTTCATTAAAAGGAACGGTTACGCACTCCCGGGCTCTTTCGAGTCGTCTGGAACCTCCTGACTCTGAGATAACGTGACATTACGGTCAACAGTGCGAGCAGTATGCGCGCGAACGTCGAGGAACGCGCACCTGCTTTCATATTTTCCGTTGCGCTTTTTGTTTCCTCGTTCTCATCGAATCTAGCCTGTTCCGTTTAACACGAAACTTGACTCACTACATCACGGAACGAACATTCACTTGCTCTTCGACTTTCGATCGGGACATTTAAAATCGAACGTTTTTCTAAAAATGCAGTGACGTGTCCAGCCGTGATATTACATCGATCTATGTTATTGGTGTCAAACTTCGCAACCAGCAATCGTAAGTTCGTAATTGTCGCAGTTCGTTCCACATTTACTTTCTCTTTCTTGTTTCTTTTCTATAATCATATAGTATGGTGTCTCGTAATTCTTCTATGGAATACGTAACTATGGACTTTTTGCTGTGAGAAATGAATGTGCGGGAAATCGTGTGCAACTCGAATGAAAGTGTGCGCACTGCGCGGAGAACACATCGTTTGATAGCGTTCAACTCAACATCCACTAGCGTGAAACAGGAAAAGTGAAAGGATTTTATAGACTTCCCGTAGTAGAATCAATCTGTGCGCGTGATGCTGCTCATTCGTACATACGTGCCTACCTTCGATTAGAAACCTGCGATATTAATGTTTTAGTTGTCACCCACCGTTTTGATAAATGTTTTAGTATTTTGCAAATCGCTGCGTACAGAAATAGACGTCTATTCAAATCGGTGGACAAAAGCGTGAACCGATTGATTGCCCGTCCGTCGTAAATGGTGGAACGATCACCAGAGGTGATCGAATTGAATTGCAAGTAGCATGTATATTATACGTACGGAAAAGTGCAACGATCTACGTGACCGGCGACCTCCTATGTTTGAAGCTCATATGACACAGCACGTTTCTTACTGTCATTTTCCTCTTTCTCCAAGAGAATACATTAGTCGAGTTCAGGGCACGCGAAACTTGATTTAGAAATAAATCGTAGTCGATTGCGCAAAAATACAAGTGGCATTCACGGTATCAAATGTAGTAAAACCGCGGAATAATTTGTGAGATAAAGCCATTTAAACATAACGAAATATCGTAATTTCCGGATTACTCATAAAGTGTTCCTGGCAGTATACGAATTCTCTTGAAACGATTCATTGAGTTTTGAGTTAATATAGATACGCAGAATTTTAAAATAGTGAAAATGGTAGCGTTATCGAGCAATACGTTATCCGCTAACGAGTAAATACAGAAGCGATAACGACTTAGGGCATCCCATGATAGATGCCGGCCGGGAGAATAATCTGACCGTAATCCAAGCTACTTATCGAGAATGTGATCGAAACGTCAGACTTTCCAGAATGACGTAGCCCTCTGATCCTATCCTCCGGGCAACGATGACGCACGCATTCCAATGAATTACCAAAACGTTTGCGGGAGATCCGGCCGGATCCCACAGCATGAAGTGACGTTACCACATGTCCTCGCGGTCACATGGAGAACATACGAGTTCTCTTCATCCCTTCGTTTCTCATCTTCACGCGTCGATGTTAATCTTGCGGTAACACGATAAAAGGTATCTGGTTATAAAAATTCGTTAACGAAATTATAGCCGACTTGCTATTCGTTGTCGAGAATACATAAGATCTCGAGTGACCTCACAATTTCCGGTACAGTTATTCGGAATTGCCTGGACGTGAACGTTTATCATTTCGAAGTAATTTCTTATGGCGAACTTCTTATTTTACTGATTTACTTGGGCGATTCGCGAAGACGAGATTAGTCACGAACCGCGTTTTGACAGTACGGCTATTTCTAACGCGTCTAGTGGGTACAGAGGGTGCCGCGACCGATACGCTTATTTTTAGGAAACGATGTTATTAACCCCCCGCTGTTTGAGTGTACTTCGATGGAAATATCCTTTGTCGCTGTTATACGTAGAAACGTATTTATTTAATATAAGCGAAATCATTTTCTTCAGATTATTTCTGAATATTTAATAATCGCGGTAATTTTCATTTTACGTATCAATTGCTTTATCGGTATATGCGATATCCTCTGTTAATAGAAGCAACATGAATAAAACGGAACTGAGCATCGTCCTAAGTACGGAACCGGCCAGAACGTCCTCGAGTACAATTCACTCGCAAATTCCGGTACCGAGGATATCCAATGCATTTAAAGCTCAGGAAAAGTGCCCTTCACCTCGCAGGGGATCCTTCGAAAAGCTCTCTAGAGGAGTGTCAGTGGCTGCTCAAAAAGCCTCCTACGAGAGACTCGACGCTTCCGTTCAGCAACTACGGCCTATGAAGAACAATAATTTGTCGAACTCGAGCATCGAGATGCGAAACTCCGAGTTCGAGAAACCGGCGTCGCCGAGTGTCGTTAGTAACAACTGGAAGACAAACGAGCCTGTCGGCGTCACGAAATTAAACAGGAGCAACAGCCTCGAGAGTAAATGGAAGAGCAAGTATGAAGAGTCGGAGAAGAAGAGGAAATTGTTGTTACAGAAGAGCGAGGCCGGTAATTAATAATTAGTAACAAGTTTCGCGGCTTAATGAGCGTTTGTATAGTCTTAGTAAGGTCGTTACGGAACTTTATTATGATTCCATTAGTCATCATTAACGAAGTGACGAAACACGGCTCTTTCCCTTCGCTTTGCGAGCATTAGTTTGATTAAATGGTTGTGATAAGAGAGCTCGGTAAATGTGAAGTACGGAGTTCTCGACCGTATATCTCTCTTCCGTTGAGCTCCTTTCTGGAATCGTTTTTCTCCTGATATACTTACTAGGCGATCGATTAGTTTGTCACTGACGCATCGTTTCTTCGAATCTATTGATTTATTGTATGAGAAAGATCAATATGTAATGGACTTACATAAACTGAGAAATGAAAAGGCTCTTTGGTCGATATGTGCACAAAGGGAAGTGGCTGACGCGTGATTGTAGTTCACGGCCAATCGCCTGTAATGCAACTTAACTATTATTCGGTTCGTGATTCACTCTTGCATGCGAAACGAATTCTGTGACGTTTCCTTAGTCAGCCAGTACGCGATAAAATTATAAATCGATTGGGATGAAATATCATCTAGGCCCTATGCGCGGCGTTCACAATTGAGTTTTTTTTTATTGAAAATATGTATTTTCTATCGCAGCTAGTAAAGAACATGTCGATCTGGAGAAAAAGTACCAACAACTGCAAAAACAAAACAACAGTTTGCAGTCGCAAGTTCAGGAAAAAGAACAGAAGCTTCAAAAATTGAGATCCGGTAATTGTTCCTATATTTAAAAAATTCTATACATATATTTATTACTTTCATGTCATTGTACCGTGATAATTCTTTTTTAGTTTCCGAAGCAGTCTGCAAGGAATACGAACAATTGAAACATCAATATGACGTAGAAACAGGTGCTATGCACAAAGCAATGCAACAAGCGTCTCAGGTAAAATCAGTAAAAATATAAATTATTTCACTATTTCAATTTGATTTGTAACTTGACGCATCGATGTGTTTTTAGTGGTATAGACAAAATTGTGAACTCAAGAGAAGATCGCAGATAATTACACAAAAATTGCTACAAACGAATCCGGATGGGGCGATGGACTTCGAATTCTCGGATGAAATTGACTCGAACTTCGAGGACCTCGATCAGCTTAGAGAAATGGTGAAAGGTATAAATATGAAAATTATTCGGTATATGTTTCTGCTATTAAATTATCCAATCTACTTATGAGTATGTATTTTACAGAACTGAGTAAAGAAATAGCGAGGCTTCAAACGGAATTGCACTCTGCTCGCCTTCAAGAATTCGAAGCCCAAGAACAGGTGCAGCACTTGACCACGCAGTTGGAGGAGGAGCGAACCCTCAGGCAAAAGTGTAATTTAAACGAATTCTGCCCGCGACATAGAGATGCTTTTTCGATAACAAACTCTTTCTTTTTCTTTCAGGTGAAGAGAAGGTGAACGAGATGAAGGTGCAAAAAGAGAACATGGAAAGGGTGACGAAGATGGTTGCGGAAGAAATTCAAGCTTTGAAGGCGCAGTGTGATCGCGAAAGGGAGAACGCGAAGATCATGAAGATCGAAGCGGAAAAAGTAAGATTGATGCTCCAAGTTCACACTTCAAAGTTTTAAGTAATCAAGACACAATTTATATGTAATTCCGTATCGCAACAGGTGCAAAAGGAAAGGAACGTGTTGGCTCATCAGAGTGCACTTCTGATGGCGGAAGTTGGCGACGACCCTAACGGAAGATTATTGACTGTACTTCAAGAAGTAGAGGCTCTGAAGAGATCGTTGGAGGAAGAGCAACAGAATCACGCTTCTCACATACAAATGTTGGAGGAGAAGCTGGAAGAGAAAGAATCGAATGTAGAGTTTGAAATAGTGGAAGAAAAGTTGAAGCTAGCAGAGTCGGAGTTTGAAGTAGTAATGCAGAGAGCAGAAAGGGCGGAAAAGTCTGTGGAAACTTTGGAAGGAGTGGTGCAAACTTTGAAAGCGAAAATCAGCGAACTGGAAGAGAAGCTTTCCGGGCCACCACCACCGGTCTCACTACCACCACCGCCACCACCGCCACCGCCGATGTTCAACAATTGTGGACAGTCGTCGATTAAATTGCTGACGAAGGAAAAAATGAATTCAGAACGGAATGCAGTGACCGACATGGAAAATATGCTTGGAATCACGAAAAAAACTCCGCCGGTTACACAACAACCTGGTAATTATGTTTCTGATTTCGCAAATCATTGAATCACTTTATTAAATTGTGTACGATGCGTGATTTTTTTTATCGTTATTAGCTATCGACGATGTTATCAATCAGATAAAAAGTGGACGCTTCACATTGAAACAAACGGACGTAAGTTTTGTTCGTTTTCGTAAACTAATTTGCTGTAGATTGAAATTTTTAAAGTAAATGATCCATTGTAGAAACAGAGAGAAGAGAGAAGAAGACGACAAGAGGCGGAAAGCGCACCGCCCGCAGTTTCCGAGATGTTAAATATTTTAGGTACCATGAGAAGGAGAGCTAAGCCAATAAAGCAATCATTGAAGTCAACCGATTAACCGACGTAAATATAGACTAGATATTTGTAATGCGCGCAAAACTTTGTTTATCTCAGACACACATCGCGTTCTTTTGTTGTGACATGCATTTTTCATCCCTCGACAGAAGTCTGTTCTACGAAAATATTGTTTATCATGATATTATTTATTTAATAATGGAATAACTTTTTTACCACTGAACAAAATATACAGTTATGACATGTGAAAAATTTTAACGTGCACGTAATACGTAGAATGAAAATCACGTTTTCACGCATTAAACGAATCAGTAAAAGATAGTCAAAGGACGAGTAATGAGAAATAGATTGCAATAAGCCTTATAAAAAGGTGTATTATAAGAAACTGATTACATTTCGTGTAAAAAATAATAGTTCATTGTACAAAAGATTATTAAAGACATTTGTCTTTAAAAAGCATATACCTTCCGTAATACAATATAAGGACTGTTTTTAGGAATATGTAGTGAATTAATATTAGTCTTTCGTACTAATTACGAAATATGTTTCTTTATTTTACCAATAATTGGTTGTAATTTACTGCTTTCAAACAACAGTACCCTTCTGTAAGGCATCATTTCATTATCTGATTTCCCCCAAGCTCCTGAAAGACCAGTGTCCGATTCATTCTCAACTGAAAATTCAAAGCTGACTGTTGCTTCCTCTGCAAAGATCTCTTCCTCTGGATTACTCCATATTATAGTTGGTTCCTCTGCACTATTTTTCTTTTTGTGTGTCACTTTCTTCTCCAAATCTTTATCCTCTGTTTTGTATAATTTACAGATCAATATGTAGTATGAAAAGTTGAAGGGCATCTTTTTGCTGTTTGCTCTTTTTATTTCAGAAACTAAATTTTCTAACAGGGGCACAGATATCTGTGCTGGAATATTCACAAATCTTTCATTGATCAGCAAACCTAATGCTTCTGAATCATTTTCAAGGACATGCTTAATCATGGTATTTGTTGCATCTGTTGCATGTTCATTTGCCAATTGCCTTAATAAGTCTCTGAGCTGTTGTATACATGGGTAATTCTAAAATAAGCAAGTTCTTACATTGTTGCATGATCTACACATCAATCAACAATATGTTATGTTAAGACATACCTGTCCACTAGATAAATTAATTACAGTAGTAATACCGAAAACATCATTGACATCACTGTCTTCTTCATCATCGTCTGACTCATCTAAATCTTCCGATTGTTTAACAACCGAACCCACGTAATTTTGCGAAATAATTAGATCTGTGAGACTACCCAAATCTATATGAGCTTTCAAGAAGAGTTGTTGCAAAAGAGTTTTAATCCCATGATAATCCGGATCCAACGGATTTCTTCCCTCAAAGTCAACTTGAATTTCCATTCCCTAATTGTTATTTAAAATTTAAATTAACGACCGCGTGCTTACAAATGAGGTTAGCCCCGGATCAAAGTCGTTGTAAGTTAACATCTTCCATCTAAACTCCTTACCAATTGATCTTGAACTTCTAGTTCGTTGTCTTCACTGCTCGACGAATTTCCATCATCGTCATCGCTGCTTCTATCCAAAGAATTTCGTTGGATATCACGTTTTTTCACCGGAGCGGCCATTATCACAATCTGACGGTTCTTGACAATTTCTTCCGCTTCTGCCGGCCACCAGCCTACAGCCCGCGAGCCACCCCACGTGACGTGATAAATAAAGGGTACGAAAAATAATAGTTTGACTAAGTTTACATATTCGCAACCAGATGGCGTTTAGTACGTGATTTCAAGAACCAAAGCCGAAATCGATCCCTTGATGTCCGCGTAAACGGACATACTAGAATACAGAATATAAGACTCCGCGCATCTATATTTGATAATGCAATACGCAACAAGTCCTCTTAATTACCTGTTCATGTTTTGTTTCTACATTAAGAATACGATAAGTAAGTACCTTAGTACTTTTATGAAGAAAAGTATACAAAGATAAGGAGAAAATGACTTCGTCGGACATTGGAAGATTCACAATGAGAAGAGGATATGAACAAAAGCTATAAATATGTCTCTTCCATTGAAATATGTCATCAATAATAAAAGGAAGGTACCTCATGTAAGTGCTTTTGCGTGAGTTAAAATATCAATTACATATATTAGTAATAGAGAAGAGGGAAGCAGAAAGTGATGGCAAACTTGAAATTCGCCACTGTAGGAAGACATCACATAAATCAAATGCGCCGCGCAACTGTTTTTTTGGGACGAAAACGTCGTTATATATATTATTTGCGTGAGAAATAAGATTGGTCTTGACTTATTCGAAAAGTCGGCAGTACTTTACACGAGGTCTGTCGTTTGTTTGATTTTAACTCGTCGCGTCGGAGGGAAGCGTTTGAAATTCAAATGCAAGGTCGCGTGTGCAACGAGGCGGAGGCGCATCCGTTGTTGGCACTGCAACCCCAAAATTCGATTAAAGTCCTCGCGCATGGGCCGAAGGAAATCTTGTTTTCTCAAATTTCCCGGAGTCTGTCAGGTGGCACCACGGCGTTCACCGGTCCGGGTACATCGCACCGTACGGATACGGGCAGTGCGATCGCTTTTTGTAGGTTATAAAAACACGACGGAAGTCCCGTCGCCCGTCATCCCCGGGGTAGAGGGTGTAAAATATTCACGCGAAAAAAGACAACGGTGGCCCTTTTTGCCGTGCTATCCCCGTGAGATTTCGTGAGTGCTTTGAGCTGTGGCGGGCGGTGAGATGGCTGTCTCTCTTTCTCTCTTCTACCTACCTGTATCTCTATATTACATATCTGTATCTCTTTTTTTCTCTTTATCTGGTGTTTTTATAGATGTTCGGCTGAATAGATGTTCGCGATCACTGTAATATTTCGCTGTTTTGTGATCGTTCATACGAATCATTTCGCGATACGCGTTAACGTTACGTCTTATACGCGATGTACACGATACACCGAGGCATCAAGGATCAGCTCGATTATTAAATACGTAATCGAAACTTAACGAATAATACAGATTTCTTGGCGTGCAAAGATAATCTTAGATGTTATTTAACGTTTAACATTCTATTCCTACGTTTGCCGTCTATTCTACTCTAATAATAATATTTTTTCGGGAAAAAACTTCGACGTCAAATGGATGATTCCAAATTCGAAATCACCTTTCTTAGATTACGCAGAAAATTTAGCAATCAAGGATTTTATTCAGTATAGGATGGTGCTTAATATAAATGTTTTATTTATATTAATGTAATAATTTCGAGTACCTCTCTTTAGATAACATATTTAGCACACTTTTAATTAGCAGTCAGTACGAGGGAATCGATAACAATTAATGATATTGTTTCAATTAGGAGTGAAGTGCTTTATAAATTGACTTTTCCTTTCTGACAATTAGTAGGTCGTTTTCGATGATAAAGATTGAGCTGTTCTTGGCCATCAGGCTGCCTTGTATATATTTACGTAAACACGACTGCAATGTTTCTTCGTTACTTGGCTGTTCGGTGTTTATTCATTAGCGCTGTTCCATAGCATAGCTATCTCACCTGCCTTGATCTGTTTACTCCCCTTTGAGTTTCGTTTTTTATTTTATGCTTTTCACCGAAACATGGAAGTTTCTCGATCCCGGAAACGACATCGTTTCCTTCATTTCTCCCTTCATTCATTTATGTCCTACCTATTCGAATCGTGTATCCTTGACGATTCGCAAAATCGACGGAAATTATCGAGAGAATGACTGATAGAAAATAAACTGTTTCACGTTGTACGCATTGTACGTATTCGCGGTACTGGGGCGAGGATTCCGTTGAATGGAAGTGATCGAACACTATTACCGATTAATTGCGTCGTTCCTCCTCTGTTCTCTAATTCGATAGTCTGCTACTGATAACACGCAAACCGCCACCGTGGCTCGTTTGTACGTTGTAGGCAACGAGAGGAATCGGGCACACGTTTCATGGTTGGCGACGAAGACGTACAGAAATACGACGACGCGCGACGTTATAATTTTGGTACATATGTCATTAGCCGACGGGATTTATTTTATTCTCCATAACGATTTTTCCTTCATTGCCGCATCTCCATACGATTTAATCCCATGACGATTTGACGATCGAAGTGTTTCCCTCCCAGTCTCTATGTTTGTTTAGAGAATGAAAGCAATATTGGCCGAGGTTTTAGGAACGAGTATTAGCTGAATCAGAGAATTCGAATGACGACGCTACGGAACCGTAACAGTTCATCGTTTATTGATTTCCCGCGATTTGGAATACGCTGTCCTAAACTTCTCTATGTTATTGTGCTAGTGAGCATTTCTGTTAAACATATTTCGATGTGCCTTCAGTAACATATATTTCCTGAACTGGTAAAATTAACCAAAATGTGCAGATAAATGATCTCCGAGAAGTGCGCATCACTTATAAAACAAAATTAAATAAAAAGCATTGTTGTAATGACGGAAAGGAAAAACTTTACGGAGCCTGTTATGAAATATACGGAGCAGTTCTTTCGGTTCGAACACGAGGCGTTCCTTTTTTCCGAGGGGTGGGAATTGTAGAGCGAAACAAATGAAATTAAGCCATATGGTTACATGGTAGGGGTGGTGCGCTCAGCGTGGTGCGAAGCAACTAGTTGATTTATCGGTGCTTTCGCGTAGCGAAAACTAGCAAGAACGCTGAATTGAATTACGCTGCGTGCACAAATTGCTTTATTCAAATACAATTTAAGGGGTCGCGCGTCTTTCGCAGACTTCGAACGAGAGTTTAAAGGGGCCATTGTGTTAGCCAACGTTCTTATATACTTACATACATATACATATACATATACTCTCTCGTTTCTTGATTCACCTCTTCTACTGCTTCTAATACATACGAACGACTACATTTTAAAAAAAACAATCGATCAAATTCCTTTATCGAATTTGCTAAAAATTGAACCAATTTCCGGCATTCGACTTTATCAGGCGTGACGAATTTATTAAGAGAATCAGGGTGAGTTAATTGATCTCCGCCAACGATGTATCAAAGGATCCTTTTGACATTGACCTGCCACAAGGACGGACGTTAAAATTATTTTATATTAAGGGAACGGCGCGACGCTCTCTGTGTCTACGTTTTTTAGTTTCTTGTTCTCCTTCTCTCTCCGTTCGGATTGGGTGAATATCAAAGGCTGGTTACGTTTCGATACGACACGATGTACGGCGCGTGTGGGTTGGATAGAGCTTTGCTTTTATCGAACAGCATTTTTCTGCCATTGAAACAAGCTGCCTCGTCAGACCGAGATCGTAGATGCATAAATTCGATCGAACGTTCTCCAGTTCCATCGGAGAATGCGCCAAACGATGAAATGGCTCGGCTATTCGATTTGAGGGGATGAATATCGTGGATGACGAGAGGTTTATCCTTACTACTCGCCCTTGACCAGCCGCTAAAGAACGTGTTGTAACGAATAACGAGTCGTTATATGTAATCGTATAGAAGAATCGCGATGACCATGATGTCTCGAATTTTCACCATGTTCTCATTCAAAGGTATATTCGAACTATTTTTATTTCTTATACAATACGAAACTGTAATTCCATTCTTTTCTGCTTGTCGGCTTTTCTGTTTCTGGTACCGATAATCTCAAATTGTGTATCGGAATCGGGAAAAGTATACTCTACAATTTCGGTATCAGAACGCTTAAGTTGTCGGAGAGTTGTTGGAATTGCTGTCATAGTTGAAACAAACAATACTTCGAGTGCACTTTTCCTTCTATTATCTTAAATACCTGTGTGATTACTCGCAAATAGCGAATTAGTTTCTTCGGTTATGTTTATGCAGCCGATAAGAATGGTTAAAGCTTCTTACATTTGAGTAGGTAAATGGTACAACTCTTACTACTTCATGGTAAGACGAGAAAAACCTTACGGTCGATAACAAACATGTGACTTTTGTTTTATTTGTACTGTTAATTGCTTAGAGGTAGAACGATAATGACAATTTTTTAAATTGTTCTCGTGAAACAGAATAATGTACAGTATACAACGTTTATACATATACATATGTACATATGTATAGAAAGGGGAAGAGAGTCGAGGATTAATTATATCTGCGAGAGAGCTCTCCTTTATCTGGTTTCTAAAGCTTCCACAGCGGATTGGGAATATTATGTTACGTTCACCGTGACGTAGCAGGATCTTTATCTCTCCTGGCCCGGTTTTTCCGGTTTCACCCTCGCACCCGCGTAAATGTCGTTTCCGGTTGCATCGGTGTTCGAATAGCAATTTAAGTCGACCCAATCGCATTATTATTCACGGGGCGTTACCGTGGCCCGAAGAAGAAGGATAAACACGATCGTTCCGAATGTATTTCCGGGCAGTAAGAAGAGAAGCGAGAAGGCGTGGGGTACCCGGCGGTGGATATTTACGATGAAAATTACCACGGGATCGTGTTCCACGATCTAACGTCTCACGGTCGTTATATTGGAACCACGGCGAAAATCGTTAATCAAACTGTTCTCGAAATGGAACGACCGACCGGGCTCTAATAACTCGCTCGCGCAAGACAGAATAGGCTGCCGCGGTGAATGGGAAGTAAGACGTCGCGTCGTATTACGGACGCTGTTCCGAAAGAGAAATCTTCCTTATAATGTTGGATTGTTATGCGAGGAAGCCTCGAGCTGTATAATGCCATTGTATCGTCAGGATAATAGG